TTAAAAAATCATCATTAACGACTTGCCTAGCACTTCGGGATACGTCAAGCTCTTCCACCCTCCTCGTGTTTGTTTTCTTGCGACTGGACATTATAAGTGAAGTTCAACGGAAGATAAATAACAAATACAAAATATAGGAATTCCACAGGTATAAATTGTCCAAAATCAAAAAATCGTTTTCCAAAATACAGTTCGAATACGAAAATACGATAAGTAATCCAAAATTCTTCTTTCAAGAAAGTTAGGGTTATAAACGATTAAATTTCCAAATGTTTCTTTATTATTCTTAATAATCCAACTGTAATTGGTCTTCTAATCAAAAGTCGAGGTATAATTCCAGACTGTAAATGGATTTCTACGGTGGCCGTTCCAATGGGTTCCAATAGGTGCACTCCTGAACTCGTTTCTCCCAGTCCAAGGTTCCGATAAAGCAAAAATTCTAGGAGAAAGTGTCTTTATTAATAAAAACATGAAATACAAAGCAGTACCTGGAATTAATACACCTTCCAGGTTACAATTACTCCGAAGAGTATCCGAAACAACGATAGATAAGTGACGTTAAGTCCAACGGCTACTGTATCAATCCAAATATGGCTGTAGCCATATTAAAGATCAAATTTAAACAACATATATACAGATCAGAAGCAAACACAAAAACTTCAATATAAGTACAAAATATAGAAATAATAACAATATACAATGATAAAATCTCAAATTGGAATCAAATAAAATACCGAAAATGTCAACAGAAAAAGTCCGTCATGTCATAACAAAAATATGTAAACATGGAGGGATTTTCCAAAAAACAAAACATTCGAAAAGGATTCTACAGATGCCTTGGAGGACATTAACACCTTTGCATATCTGGGCAGCATCATCGACGAGAAAGGTGGATCCAATGCAGATGTGAGGTCGCGGATTGGTGAAGCAAGGGCTCCCTTTCTACAGTTGAAAAATATCTGGAACTCCAAACAACTTTCAACCAAAACCAAAATCAGTATTTTCAATACAAATTTCAAGACAGTTCTACTGTATGGAGCGGAAACCTGGAGAACTACGAAAGGCATCATCCAGAAGATACAAGTGTTTATTAACAGTTGTCTACGCAAAATGCACGGATTCGTTGGCCAGACACCATCAACAACAACGTACTGTGGGAGAAAACAAACCAGATTCCAGTGGAGAAGGAAATCAGGAAGAAGCGGTAGAAGTGGATAGGACACACATTACGAAAAGCACCTAACTGCGTCAGGAGACAAGCCGTCACATGGAACCCTCAGGGAAAAAGGAAAAGAGGTAGGCTAAGGAACATGTTACGCCGTGAAATAGAGAAAGATATGAGGGGAATGAACAAACATTGGACAGAACTGGAGAGGGAAGCCCAGGACAGAGTAGGTTGGAGATAACTGGTGTGCGGCCCATGCTCCATTGGGGGTAACAGGCGTTAGTAAGGAAGTAAGTATTTCTTCAACACTAGTATTAGCCTCATGGGCTCGTTTCGAAACAACTTAATTGAAGTCGCTCGTAAACACACTCATACCAGATCAACAGAGGGTACATCATATTAGACATTACCTCACTATATCGACCACTGCTTTCACCAGAAGAAATCCATACTTTTATGTGACTTTACTTTGAGGCAGACTTCCCAGTTCTAACCACCGTTTTAAACCTGCTATAACATGACCTTCTAGTCTAACCAAACAAACGAAGGTTAACAGCCGGTAATATTGAATGATATGCTTGTAAATCTTCAGTCTGCGGATGTAAGTTACGCCCAGTCACAGTTAAGCATACAATCAAAAGTTTCTTTGAACCATTACAAAACAGGCAAATGAAACTGTATCAAGCACCAGCGCAGTGTTACACATCACATCACGAATATGAGATCGCCTATTCTAGCGAAGCGCACCGAATAGCTCCTGAAGAATTAAGATTGGTCATGTTAGTGTTCGACCATTCGACAGATTTAGGGATTATCCACACATCGGGGGACCAATAGTCTTCCCCTTTGTACATGGTTTCCAAAAAAGACACTAATTGCAGACATTCAACCGGCGATCATCACTGACTCAATGCGAAACCGGCACCCGGTCGTTACCCATCACCTCACGTTCCCGATTTGACAACTATCTCGAAAGGTACATCTGCCTTCTGAAAAGCTAGTCTGATCAAAGTGTGCAGCCGTGTAACTGAGGTTGAGAAAAATTGTCTTAAGACGACTATCATCATTCCCTTTGAACTCGATGAATTTTTGCGGATATCTTTCATTTTAAGAAATTCTACTCGAAATTTTCAAAGATTCATTGATGGCCTTTCTAGGGTACCTGAATTTGTGCATGCATGTGTTGTTTGTTCAATTGCAAGTCTCAACAGAAAATCTTATCAGGACACTGTTTCTTAATGACTTCAAATACAAAGCATTATCATCAGCATAAAGAATGATCAAATCACAATCGACTCCCGCTATCATATCAGGCATGCTATTGAATCTAAAGTTATTAGCCCTCAACAACGTTAACTAACGATCATTCTTGATTACCTAGAACTGATGACAGTCAGGCAACAGCACACGCTGCTAAGTCTCCACCAATGGTGCATGCCGCGTCGTGCATTTTTTAAAAGGATATAATTTTTGTTGCTACATTCGGCAAATATTTATGATGTATTGTTATAAATGGCGCTTTCAGGGCTCCATCAACCTCAGAAAGATCACTCATTTCACTGAGCATCAGCTTATTTAATGTTTAATAAGCTCATCTTTAGAGAAGCACTCTCCTTGAGAGCCTAAATATGTGAAGTACATCTTACAATTTATTTTAGGCAAACAGAACATTTCTGAGGAAAATATTACATCTGGAGATGCTCTGTTTGGCCACCTTGAACAGATGACAAGGAATTAACAATTCTAAACACTCGGCAGCAAACGAACTATAGTGGTTTTCAGCACGAGTTATGATAAGCAGCCGTGGAACCATGGATTGCGCATGTGAGGATAGAAAGTCCAACTTTGCTTTTTAATTATCAATGTCTTTTTTTACAAACTCTACTCTTTTAACTGAAATTTCGATTTCAAAGTACATAAATCCAGCTTCGTACTTCTATTTCTCTTCAATCCACTTGAAACTCTCCACGACTCTTCCTTCTTATTTGCTGTACTCTTTCATCTGTGGGTTATATTCCTTTATTCCCATAATTTACTTTAATTTTAGTGGTCAGTATGAATTTTATCTTGGCTTTGCTGTGAATGTGATAGCAGGGCTGAATCATATTCAAGGTTCTCATCACCCGGAAGCTCCCAAGGTGTTTATTTTATACTCTGTTGTTCCGAAGATGTATTTTTTCCAGGTTTATACAGGTTATTTGAAAAGTATCACTTAGTGTTCTGGTTAGATGTCATTTCTCACTGAGAGTGCATGTTTGATCGGCCCCCACTTACGGATGACATAGCGTCGTGGTCTGACATATATTCGTGACGTCTTTCCTGGTTCTTCATGCTACCGAAGGTTTTAATTGTTTAATTTGTTCACATTCTTCACTATTTGCTAGCTGGCTGGAGAGACGATTACGGCTTATCAGTGACAAGACATGTAACCCTCAGATAGTCAAGGAAGACGATGCATAACGACTTGTTCCTTTCAATTGGCTGCATCACAACGACTCACATAAGCAAGATTCAGTCACTATATTATCGATACTTTAGGAGATCTGTTGAATGTCGGCTGGTACATTCTTCCGTTGTAGTAACACTGTTAAGACTTTGCTTGAAACCAGTAAGAGAGTGATAATGATGTAATTGTGGAATTGAGCTGGTTCTTAAATAGATAGTTCTTACAGGTGAACGTACTGTAAATTAAGGGACTTCCACTGAATGACCGGTAACTGATGAAAACTAAAGGAGGTCAGTATTCATGCAGCGCCTATAGGGATGTGACCAGTCTAAACAATAGACCCAAATCCCTAAATCTTTCCATGCTTTCAAATCTACTGAAACCCTCTTTCTTAGGTTTATTAAAATAGTTTTCCTCTCGGGGAAGATCCGTTTTTCATTATCGTAGTTCAGACGGCTCACAAACTCCATTTAAGAAAGTCTAAAGCTGTTCTCAAACTGAAACAATATTGCTGCATTCCGAGTTACCAATTCGTCAAACTTCAGACAATCCATTCATGGTCGGCTCTAATAGATTTTCAACCAGTTTTACGGGAGTTTTGGCTATCAATGTGCTCCATATTATTCTTTGACAAGGACACTGTCTTAAGGGTGTGCGTGACGGCGGTGAAAAATAAGATACGAGAATGATGAGTCGACGGTTCCCATCCCTTAGTTAATAAAAATGCATTCTGACCTAGTTATTTGAAGGATATTGGTCGTTGGATACAAGGAAGGGTTGAGATGATGAGTTACTGACTAGGTTACATGCTTGAGCTCCATTTATAAGTTTGTATAACAGGTATATAAGTGACTTGCTGATTTGGGATCCAAAGGAGAGTAGGATATATAGTTTATAAAGTGTTGTATTTGGTGAACAGTCACGGAAACGCTGAACGACCAAATTCAAGCTCGATTCAGATAACAGTGTACGGTTAATAGAAACGATGGTGCAAATTCAAGGAAATTATAAAAATGGTGTATGGTGACAAAAGTTACTTTCAGACTGTCTTTATTAGACATCACAACTTATATGGGCAGTGAATAGGAGGAAGATAAACTTTGACTATTACAAGTATGGTGTAAGTCATATTGAGTGTAATATCACCAAGTAGCCTTGAGTAGGCCGATTTACTTGAAATTTATAGAATGACGTTTTTGTCTGCAGTCTATGAATCTGAGCTTAACTGGAGATCAATGGGACCGCCTAATGAAAGACCTCGTCGACTTCATGATATTATCTAAAGATCAAACTTGTGTCTGGACCACCAGATGAATAGCCAGAGGTGACAATATGATAAATTTTAAACATAATACACGCTAAAATGGGTTATGTATTCCGGTCGATAAAATCAAGGGAAGATTAAATAGGCAAGATGACTTACTTAAAACGAAGTACGGACACTAATAGTTGACATACTACCATCTAGGCGAAATTTGAAATCTATGGAATGAATAGATATTTGTTACCGTTCTGACCTTCACTATAGTCAACGCAGCCACGGATGATTAATATTGTTGTTTAGTGTGACGTATTTTTGATCATCTTCTTAGCTTCTTTCATGATACTTAACTCTGTAAATAAAAGTGGAAATCCAGGCAAATCAAACCTCTCTCAACACCAAACAGCCTAACTTCGTACCGTATATGAAGAAGTCGGAGAAATCAAGCATTGTTTCGACCATATCTCAAAAAAGGCTGAAAGAGATTCAGGGATATCTTATACGTATGTTATGTACTTGTTTGGATGTTTATGTTAGGCCAAAATGGTATCAAACAGGAAACCCACGTAAATGGGCGTGCCTTGGGATCAGTAGGACTGAACTTCGACTAAAGCGATTTTTATTCAGTTAGGGCGGAAGCCGAAAATCTCGGAAAATGAAACCATAAATTCTGTATTAAAAGATGTCATCGATTTGAACAGTACCGAACGTACGGAACCATCTTCAGTGAAATCTCTCTCCTCAGTATATCTAGATGTGAAACCAAAGCTTGATGCCGATGGTAAGGTTATGTTCCTCTTACTACTTCTTTAGTATCACAGGATACAACACAACAGGTATATAAATCATTTTTTTCCGCTAACTTTAAGAGCTTGGTTCGCGTCTCCCAGAATGCTTCTAAAATTTCTGTAGATTCCCAGATGTCTGATCCAAGTGAAAAGCAAAACCATTCGTATATGCCAGCCTCAGACGAAAATAAACATCAACGGAACAAAAATGTCGGTAAGCAGTGTTTATCGGTAACATGATCTTAAATGTGCGACGGTGTGTTTAATCCGTTTATTATTTTGTCTACAGCTAACTCGCCAACTTCAACAAATCACGACCGATGGAGTACACAACCTAGTTGCTTAAATAAACACAACTTTCAGGAACAAGAAGCTTCAAATGTCCTTTTAAATACTGAAATCAATTTCCTAACCAGTAAATTTAATCCAGAGTCGTCAGAAAAACTGTATAGTCCCGACACAATTTGTGCGAACCAGATAGGTACTGTCCCTGCTCTTACTCCCATGGCTTTTGGTTCCGGACAAGACGCCCATTTGTTAAAACAGGTATGCAACATTCCTTTTCGATTGCTTAAAGCCGTCTATGTAAAGGCTTTTTGTATGATATCATTCTATAACTTATTTTCCATTGCTTTGTAAATACACAGGAAGTAATAAATTTCATGTTTGTTAGCAGCTTATTGGTCTACAGGTGGATTGCGATGCAATAGTTCGGACTGTCTCAAAAACTGCACTTCTGAATCATTTATTAAATGCTAGTTCAAGTACTTGGCTTTCATACATTTACTTTTTGGGTGGTAGATATTCCTATATGCTCAACTTAAAGTATGCGAATTACAATTTAAACCTGTAGCTCACTGGTTGGGATTGAATGAGTTATTCACTAGTTAGCCATCTAGCTACTGTTGGTCACAAAAATATCCTATCACTAGTTTTAAATCAGTACACATAAACCCCGGGGATTGTTACATCGATTGTCACACCTTCGTCTGTATACACTGAAGCTGTTGTATTTCTGACTTGGGTAGCATCACGTTTCTCATCAGACAGAACCGGATACATATAATGCAGACAAACAGCTTACCAGCAAGGAATTAATTTGAACGTTTCGGGATTCGGACTCATTAGCTACTGCAAATACGCTCGTTTAATCTGTTAAACATAAGAAGTTACTGTTTAACCATTCGACTGTTATCAATATGATGTAGAGTACAAATAAACCACATCTAAGTCAATCGAATATAAAGTCTGAAAGAAAAATATTTGTTCAGAACTCATTTTTATACTGCTATATTCTTCTGGTGCAGTATTGTTTGATTTCGCCGTGCTGAGTGCCAAGCACAATTAGCAGACACTCGATTTTAACTGACGGTTGAATATATTAAATATTCATTTAATAAAGTACTAGTTTAATATTCTTAGTATAGCCCTTAATCAGTCAGTCAGTCACAACGTAGGACTTCGTACATACGTAGATCTGTTCAAGTTACCATAACACATTAGCACAGAAATGTAATCGTCAGTTCAAATCTCATAGTAATAGAGGTAGAGGAATTTCTAACTAAATGAAGTAGTTCATAGTTTGTTTTGAAACATCAGTGAGATATTTTCATATTTCATTTAAGAGGATAAATTTTATTTTAGGAAGAAAAACGTCTACAGTGGAAGGCTGCATTAGATGAACAGCTTAAAGAACAACAGACGCGAGGCAAAACTCTTCAAGAGGTACAAAATGAGGGTGGGTTCAATAAGATTCAGTCAGGATCTCTTTTTAATGATCGGAGACATTGCGACAGCTCAGTTCCCTTTTCTGAGTCAAGCACATCAAAGTAAGTATTTTCGAAACATTTCCTTGCAAGAGTTTGCTATTGGGATGATGAGTTCTTCCATATCAGTAGGGCGTTTCCGAAAGTCAACCTGTTCACACTATTATCTCTTACTAATACTCTGATCTTACTATGCTTAAAACAAATTCCTGTTTATCTCTTCGGTAATGCGTAAACACATACATTTATATTTTAAAATTTTGTTTGAAATGGCAGTCCTTGTAACAGCGCATTGGTCTCACATCCTTCGGCCAGTCATTTTATGTCATCAAGTTTCTTTCTACCTGATTCAACTGTCATCAATAATTCTCATTCATCATCTGGAACAAAAGATGCTATTAATCAACCCTGGAAACTTGGTTTTAATCGTGTTCGAGGTTTCACTCAACAACTGTATACAGATTTGGCGGAATCCGCTGAACGTGCTCGGCTTGCTCATGAAGCTAGAGTAAGTTATAAAGTAGATATACTAAGTGATTTCCTTTTGTTCCAAATAACTGTCACTACAAAATAAGCGTCTTATTGATTTTATGACTGATGAAAAAAGAACATTTTTAAAAGCTTACTTGAATGAAGATAAAATATTCAGTTAATAACACAATGTGGTGCCGGTTTATGCAATCACTCAGTCAGCTACAACGTAGAACTGCGTACGTACATCAGTTCAAGTTGCCATATCACATTAGCACAGAGAGATAAAACTGCCAATTCAAATCAAATGGTGGTAGAGGTTTCAGAGGTATTAGCGATAATGGAAAAGATAAAGGATCGGAGATATGAGTCAAAAAGTATATTCCAGTGAAATACATTTAAAAAGATGAAAGAAAACGTCCTGAGCTCATGAAGTATAATGCGAAGACAAATAATGGATGCATTTGCGCCATTGCAAACAAATTTGAGACGTTTCATTCGAAGTCACTGACCATCGGTTACTATTGTCCCGCGGAGCCCAACCAGGTAACCTACACTGACCAACATGGCACAGTCCAGTTGACAGTGACTTCATGTATTTGTGTCTGCCCGCTGGTAGCTTTCTTCTTACCTACTCCCTCATCAAAAAGCATCTCTTGTCGAGGCTATCGGTGGTTAGGCATGCGTAACACAAACCCAGGATATACGAACGTTACATCGAAGTTCGATAATAAAATAATAGTAACCTACGAATATCCTCTACTCTTACTGGCGATGTTTCACGCCTGTATTGTAGTTTGGAATAAACTGATGTGCAATAAACTCATTCTTTCGTAAGTAAATCGCTATCTTCTCCATGCCGATATTTCCCCTGACACCTGTCCTTTTGGCACTGATCAGACTTCTAAGATAAGTGGAGTGGTCGACATGCTCAATTGTTTCACTCCATATCCCTAGTTCAATTGCCGATACAAGCCAATCTTGAAGCAAAATTTTGCATTTCGATGGGAAGAGTCACATCCCGAATATGCTTGCATTGTTGTTTTAGGTAGTGAGAAGACTGCATTCAGCCAGCGTCTTCACCAAATAGAACATTATCATCGGCATATTCTGATGACAATTTGCCATAAGCTCTCACTCGACCATTGGTGTTCGAGTAGAGAGCCTGTGAAAGGTTAACGTACTTGTCTGATACATCTTTTAATGAAAGACACTGCCATAGAACTTCACGACTGACATAGTTGAATGTCGCTTTAAGTTCAATGAATACAACTATAGTGGGACACCTAAATGTGTCTGTGTTCTAGGACCTGTTATAGTGTAAACATGTGATATATACAGCCACATCCAGGTCTGAAGCCAGCCTGATTTTCTCGAGTCTGCTCTTCACGAAGCTCTAGTTAGGCGTCTATGTATTATTGAGGCTAACAATTTGGAAACTATATTAGTTAAACTGATTCCTCTGTGGTTGTTACAAGAGTTTGTCCTTTTCCATAAATTGGGTCATTAAGGGATTGAGACCAGTCAGATGGGATTACGTTCAGTTCTCAAATCCTACCTTAAATCTCAGTCATTGTAACTGGATCACCATTCCTCAAAAACCTCAACGGTTGACCTTTCAGTACTCGCTCCTATCCCCCACCTTAGATTTCCTATAACTTTTTCAACTTCATTTAAAGTCGGAGGACATGTTACACCCCTATATTAAATGTCAGTACTGCTACGTCACACGAATACCTCGGTGATCAAGCATTAAGAGCTTTTGGATCTTTCGTTTTATTATTCTCTTTTCGTTTTGTCGTCTAATGAATAGTTCATTTTTTAACTTTGGTTTTGTTATTTGTGTCTTGCAAATGAAAATATTCGGGATGCGACTCTTCCCATCGAAATGCAAAATTTTGCTTCACGATTGGCTTGTATCGGCAATTGAACTAGGGATATGGAGTGAAACAATTGAGCATGTCAACCATTCCAGTTATTTTGGAAGTCTGATCAGTGCTGATGGTCTGGTGACTAACGAAATCTCAGTACATATACAGAACTCTTGACTGGCTTTCGATAATCTGCATCACTTATGGCGTGGTTGAGATATCCGTATCCTATTCAAAGGAACAGTGTACTGCGCGATACTTCACCAAATTTTTCTTTCAGGCTCTGAAACATGGCCAGTCAGAGTAGAGGATATTCGGCAGTTACTGGTTTTCGACTATCCGGATATTAGAAGCATTGCTCGTATATCTTGGGACTATTGAGTAAGGAATGCTGTTGTTAGGAAACAGGTACTAGATAAAGATGGCAGATCAATAGATGAAGTAGTGAAGCCATCGGTTGAGGTGATTGGGATATGTGTTACGTATGCTTAACCACTGAGTGATTCGACGAGCTATGTTTTTTGATGTAGTAGTAGGTTAGAAGAAAGCTAGTGATGGCCAAACAAAAATGTGGCACAAATTCATGAAGTCATTGACAACTGGGTTGAGTCATGTTGATCGATGTAGACTACCTGTTTGGGGTTCACGAGATGATTGTAATCAATGGTTAGAGACCCTGAATGTCATGACTCAAAACCGTTTGCAATGGTGCAGGTGGATGCATTATTTGTCTTCTCTCAAATCCTAACCTCCTGAATCCCTTATCACCTTTATCTTTTTCATTTTAAATTTATTTCACTAGATTCTACTTCTGAATAATGTCTTCGAACCCAAATGTCTCCGAATACTGCTAATACTTATACTACCTCTGCTTCTATGGAATTCGAAGTGACATTTGAGTTTCTGTGCTAATGTGGTATGGCAGCTTGAACTGATGTGCATACGTACAAAGTTCTACGTTGTAACTGACTGATTTTTGGCCTGGTCTTTTTTGATCAGTTGAATGTAAACGTACCAAAAGTCCCTTCTGTAATGTATTAAGCTATAACCAGTTCAACAGACCATATTTTCTCAGTTTGTGTTTAAACTCTTTTAGGTTTAGTGACCATACTCACTGTTTTGTTGACTCTAATGATTACCTTTGAAACTGCTTTCACTTTTAAGGCTTATAAACTATGTTTCTATTTCAAGACTCGGTTTTTCTGCTTAGTGTTTCAGAGGTTATTTGAATACTCACCAGAAACTGTGTCTACCAACAAATAACCTCTTTATAATCTGTTTACAAACTCTCTCATGATCTACGGTTTCATTTATTTTGAGTAAAACTCATTTTGGTCTTTTATGAAACCTAATGTTATGGTAAGCGAAGGAATAAATGTATTGCATCATAGAAAAATATACAGTCAGTTTGCACTAGGTACTTGCGAAAGTTATTTGATAAGTCACTATGATGAGTTCTTGTCAGTAAAATAAATTCTAATATCGTGAGTCAGTCATTTAAGATAAGAAAAAATATATCTTGTACTAATTTTGTGATGTACAAAGATAAGTTTATAGAACAGTTTCTACCAGTTGATTACCTTTGTATTTACTTACTATCTCATGAAAATTTATTGATTGATAGTGTCATGCTAATGCTCTAAGTTAACAATGTGCAACTAGTAAATCGGTAATAAACTAACAATCTTTGTCGGTTTCATTTTATATATATTGATAAACAAACAAAAATAAACATCTGATATAGTCATCCACTTTTGATTTATGTGCCGTTTTTTTACTAAAGTCCAGATACCACTATAAACTTAATCTCAGTGATGTTTGTCGGATAATAAATTAAATATTGAACATTGTTATTTCAAATTCATTATCCGGACTTACCTGCTCTCTAGCAGGAATTGTTTTAGGCTTCAAATATTGATCGAAAAGTCTATCTTTATGTCATAAATATTGTTACTCAACATTTTTCTCGGTTAGAACAGGTCATAGATAAAGCAAAGTATACAGTCTAAACTTTTTGGGATCCTATCAAAAAGGAAACTGCCATCACGTTATGATAAAATGCTGTTGATATTGTTGAATCTGAAGTTTTATATCATATCATACATCGTTTGACAATTAATTTTCTTGGTTTATGTTCACCGATTAAGCAGATTCACTAAATAAGGAGATTAGCTTTAAACGTGGATTCATGCAGTAGTTCTACTCATGTAATTATTTAGTTGTTTTCCTGAAGAATCGTTCATCTTTCAGCATGTACACCTATCTCTACAATTATGTCTTATTTTGTTTCATAAAAGGTTGATTATCGAAGTTAGTTTCACTCTCTTCACAAACTTTTTCAGTGATAATTCGTTTGTATTGGTTGTTATAATCTTCCCATTTATGTTTACAACTGCAATCGATCAACCTACTTGGCATATGTGCATTCTGTGCGGATTGTCTCGATATAGCCGTTATGACAAGCTTATATAGAATGCGGCTATCTGCGGAATCTGGAACCTTGCTCTTCAAACGCTGTCTCGTTATCCACTTATCTGCTTGGTCTAGATCGGTACTTGTTTCTGCAGTAGGGTGAAGCTTAATTCATTTACATTAGTTGTTTGAATCTTCCCATTGATCTTTAGGACTCCAGTCGATCACTCTATTGGGCATATGTGCATCCCGGAGTCAGCATAAACTGTGAGATGCAAGTACTTCCTACTGACGAGTCCCAAATAGGACGGGACGCGCGTCCTGGATTCCACTGCTAGCCACTATCTACTCGTACTAATAATTTTTTCAGTAATAATTTCCAAGTCCAATCAAGAGTGGTGAATGCTACTCACTAGGTTGAAAATTAATTTGGAGTCAATCAACAGCAACGTCGAACTTCGCATAGTAGTAGAGGTAGTAAAAGTAGTGAAAGTACCAAGAGTTTTGGAAACCGAGTGTAACTAGTACATATTGATCATTTTATTTATAAGCTTTCTTTCAAAAATCAAAATTTCTGTTAAAATAATTTTGTGATAAGTTTTTATGGTAACAATTCAGTGTTTTCATTTCTTTGAACTACTGCTTCTGAATGAAGTCAATCACATAGTTCTATGATATGTCTCTTTACCTTTGCTTACCAACACCCAATATCTTTTTAGGCCATTAATGTAAGATATTTATGTAAACGATCCGTAATGCTTGTTAGTAATTTTACCATTCGTTTATTATATATGTTTTAGTTGATAAATTTGAAACAGATTGAAGAAAAACGTCGTCAAAAAGAGCAAGAAAAGGCAAAACTCCTTATGGAAGAGAAAATGGAAGAAGAACGTATCGCACGTGAACGCCTTCGATTACAACAAATGGCTGAGGCTGAGAATGCTCGAAAAAGGGCAAAAGATGTACGAGTGTTAGTTTTCATATCATCCAACATTATTTGAATACATTTGTACGAATTTCATCTTACGCAAACTCCTACTTGCATTTTGTGTGGTAATTTAGATGTTAGTTCATCACTGAAATTATTTTTTTAGATGTCTATGGGTACAAGTGTGAGACGTAAGACTTACATCGGTTATTTAAAGATGTTACAGTTAGACGAATAGTTATTGTCATGAAATTTCATCTATTGGCCGTGTTATTTTTTTCTTACTAGTGAGAAATGTTTAGTCAGATTGGTGTAAAATTTCATTTTACTATAGGTTTCTAATCAGCTGACAAATGCAAGTGCGTTAAATTTTTGGCTTCTGTCTGTCTTAGACGTGTGTCGTTAATAATTAAAATGAAATAGGTCAGTAGATCTCACAAAAACTGAAAGTGCCTTCAATGCTGTTATTTGAGAATCAGCCAGGTTTCTGTTTATCTCTTAAAATAAAAAGTTTTTGCTACTAAACTAACCCCAGTTAAAATATAGTGTTATTGTCACAGAATAATCATTCCTACTGTCTTTTGGAATCGCTGGGAATAGGTAATTGTTCAGTCCTCTATTATTGTTGTTACTACATTGTTCTGATCTCTTTTCTTATGCATCTTATTGTGTTAATTTGTATGACAACTTGGGTCAACTCACTTATGTGGCAGGCTGTACGTTGATGACAACTTACTGACACAAGGTTAAGTGCTACCCACTTACAAAGTATCTGATTAGGAATTGAGAAGCAGATTAGAGAGATCATTTAATAACTCGATGTACAAGTAGGCAATAACAATTTATTCCTAATAGAAATCTCTATTGAATCACCCGTGAAATCTGTGATGGGTAGTTGATAGTATTAAATCGTTTCACACGATTACTGTAATTCAGTGTCTATCTTTGCTCATTTATTAATTAATCAGTACATCATAAAGTTATTGTTAAAAGGTAATATGACGTAAATACTATTTAAAACTGTTCCAAACAATTAAACTTCAACGACAGAATGCTCAACACTGAAAATAAAGTTAAATAATTTGTTCATGATCAGTTTTCAAAATCGTCATCAGTCTTACAAGAATAGACAAAACAGTGGAACTAGTCTAACTGACAAGTGATTTCAAAAATAGTTTGTTCTATAATGTATTTTTGTTTCTCTTCAGATAGAAGAGTTTCAGCGTACACAATACTTATATGAGTCACTTGTTCGTGCTCAAGAAGAAGCAAAGCGAAATAAGATTCGAAAACATCCATGTTATTCTGAATTAAAGCAAAACAATGATTCAGTAAGCCGAAAAACAGTCATACAGTCTGAATTACATGTACCTTATTGGCCAGTCGCATCTGTTGTCGAAAATTTGAATCAAAATAATCCATTGTATACTTTTCAATCTTCATCCGGTTGTGATGTGCCAGATGTAAGTAAATATGTTAGCACAATTTTTATCAACAGTTTGGTAAATAAAGTTTTTGTAAGTATTTGTCTATAGAAATGATATTTTTATTTGTGTACTTCATTAAAAGAAACAGTATTCATTACTAAGGTGGTTACATTTTACCGGTTGTTTTTAATATTACTGGTAATTATTATGCTAAATTTTACCTACTATATGGAAGTGTTATGTTATTAAAGTTCATTGTTTTATGATTATCTTCACCTCAACATTGAGTCTGACGATATGATCTAATATTACTGTGCATGTTTGCCACTTTTATTCTCTTATGTAAATAAGCCCAGTATAATATTCTACATCAAGTCGATCTATGAAGAATAAAACTCAATTCTAAAAAGAAATGATCGGTTTACATTCTAAGCATGAATACAAACTGAATGAAATGAGTGTTACTATAAGCCAAATTACTGTTCATAAGCTTCCAATAATATCAATTACTTTTGTGCTTTTTATTGGACTTCAGTGTATTATTTCGATTAAAGTAAAATCGTGCTTCATTTTACTATCATACTTAGTCCATTCTTATTTTATTTACCTTGTTAATAATTACTCACAATGTACCATTTGAAAACCTGATAACTCAATCGGAATTCACAGTGGTTAGTTCTATCGCTGAACAATTTATCTTGTTCCCCAACCGTAGCTGCTACCTCGACGTGGTGGTAGAGCTTGCCTACTGTGATGACTCAAACGAGCTATATTGGCTGAAACATATGCTCCTGTAGATTTTACCATGCCAGTCAGGTCGATTGGAGAACGGTGAGACTAAAAGCAGCGACTCAAGGTCTGAGGGTGAAGTCGTACTGTTGATTGTAGAGAAGTGTGTCAGCAGTGTGGTGTTTCCCTCAAACAACCAGCATCTGCAACGATGCTGCCCTCTCACAACGGAAGGAAGGGGTTAGAAAAGGTCAACCCTAAAAATGTCACACCTTAGCTTTCGTCTCCGGCAGTAAGGCCATTTGAAGGGCGGAGCTAACACTTTAAAACTCCTCATAAACGGGTCGTGTGCGACCGGCCTGAAGCAGTTGTCCCTTGAGTTCTGCGGTCACTCTCCCAGGTCGCTACTAACATTGTTAATCCAATTTCCTTATTAGGTTCCTCAAGAAACACCGTTCGTCGACGTGGGCAATCGGGAAGTGACATCCAACTTTGTAACCGTAACAGCACACAAGAACGAATTAGTCATAATCAAATCCTTCCTACACCTCTTAATAACTCTATTCTCTCCATGCTCTGCCCTTCTTCCATTACTTTACCACCTTGCGCTGCTAATTCAAACGTTTTGAGTTCACGAGACTTTATTCCTGATCTCCTGGAACCCCGCTGTATATGTTTGAGCTTTTAATGTCCAGCAGACCTCGAGCCAAATAAGACAACAAGCTTACTCAACTAAGACTTTAGATTTTGGTGCCATCGATGTACGTTGAATCTCGGAAACGTGCATACAGGATCAACAGAACGCGAATGAGAAATCCCAGGAGACTAGATCGATGGGCAGAAAACTTTAGGGATCAATTCAACTGACATTTAGCCACTCTTTAGTTACCTACGATCTTCAGTCGACCATGATGGCAAATCGATGTAAGTCCTCTGACTGTCTATGAAGTTGAGAGAGCTAAAAGAAATCTAAGGCGAGGGAGAGTAGCGAGTGCTAAAAGGTCAACCGTTGAGGTTTTTGAGGAATGATGATCCTGTTTTAGCAGTTACGATGACTGAGATCTAAGGTAGGATTTGAGAACTGAACGTAATCCCATCTGACTGGTCTCAATCTCTTAATGTCCCAATTTATGGAAAAGGACAAACTCTTCTTGTGACAACCACAGAGGAATCAGTCTAACTAATGTAATGTCTAAATTATTAGCCTTGATAATACATAGATGTTTAACTGGAGCCTGTGAAGTCTTCTGACTACCTTATACAACAATGCAAGCATATTCGGGATGCGACTCTTCCCATCGAAATGCAAAATTTCGCTTCAAGATTGGCTTGTATGTGCAGTCGAGCTAGTGATATGGAGTGCAGCATTTGAGCATTTCGACCACTCCATTTATCTTGGAAGTCTGATCAGTGTTGTTAGTCTGGTGGTTTACGACCATCAGTGCTTTAGAAGAATTGCTCGTATACCCTGGGACTACCGAGTAAGGAATGCTGTTGTTAGCAAAAGGGTACTTGGTAGGAATGCCAGATCGATAGATGGAGTATTGAAACTTCATCAGTTGAGGTGGTTGGGACATGTGTTACGAATGCCCAAACGCCAACTCCGTCGGCGAGTTATGTTTCTTGATGTAGGAGTCGGTTGGAAGAAAGCTAGGGCCTGCCAAACCAAAACTTGGCACAAATCACTGAAGTCACTGACAACTGAATTGAGTAATGTTGGTCAATGTAGGCTTCCTGGTTGGGGTTGGCGTGATGATATTAATCGATGGTTAGAGACCTTGAATGACATGGCTCAAAAACGTTTGCAATGACGCAGGTGCATTCATTCATTGTGTTCTCTCAAATTCTAATCTTCTGAATTCCTAGTGAAATTCTGTCATTTTTACATTGATTTCACTGGGATAAACTTTTCGAATTATATTTCTGATCCCTTATCTTTTCTATTAATTCTAATACTGTTACAAATATTATCATGGTTTTTGAATTGTTAGTTGCATCTCTATGTTAGTGTGATATGGCAATTTGAAATGATGTACGTACGTTGTTCTACTTTGTAGCCTTTTGATTGATTTAAGTAATTGTATTTGTCAAATTTTGAATTCGTTATTTTAGTTTCAATATTTGTTAACCTATTCAAAGAATTTACATATTTTTTCTGGTATTATCATTTGCATTTGATTGTATCCGCCTTAGTTTTCATTATCTAATGCCTTATCATTTTATGTTCATTCGTCTTATTCTTTTGTAGTCAATTGTATGTCCTAAAAATTCTTTGGCTGTCCAAGTCTCATTTCCTGAAGATGTTGGTATTCAAACAGGTAAACAGATTCTTTAAATAATGGATTTCGCCTAATTGAATAATTTCAACGCAGGAAGTCTTGTGTGTAAATTGAAGTTAATGAGGTTCTGCTTAATGGACCTATCAGCTATGTATATAATTAGCCATCATGTACGTCTAAACACTTCAAGTATCTTACATGGGCATTTGACAGCATTTTCTTTGTGTAGGATAACTCAGTTCGCACAGTGTTGTCTGAAAACTCTATACTGAAGTCATACTGTGATTTTGAGGGTTTTAATGCTCATATTTTCATACAAGATTCCTATGTAGATTATGATTATATTTTCATGTTGCGTAGTGTCAGATAAAATTTGATAAAATCTGATCAATTTCTGCTGTGCTTGTTCTCTGGTACTCCAATCATGCGATCTTAAAATGTTCACATTGAATATTTTTTGTTGAACCACTCTAAAAGTCCTATTTATTTATTAGTTATCTGTTCATTATAAAAACGAAGTAGTCTCTCATTACAAGAGAAAAATAAATTTGATAACTATTGGTTTCGGTTCTTGAAAGAGTGCCGATCTTTGTTTTATTTCATAATTATTTTCAGTTTACAGAATGGTCCAAAATAATTTAAAATATTAGCTTGCTTTTATTGGCATGATTGATTTATCTCATCATTTAGCTGTTAATCATTATTGGCCAGTTAAACCATTTAGGAAATGAAACTTAATGGTTACTTCATTTCTAGTTTAAATTTCAGCCTCTGTCCTGGTCAGCCCAGCAGCTAAGCAGGTCCCAATACGCGTAGTTGTGTCCTCATCTTGCGTTTTTGTCTTTGACACTCATATACTCATATACTAGGTGGTATAAATCAAGCTCACACTAACTAAGCGTTTGTTCAATGTATTCGCTACGCTTATCTCCTGATAGTGGATAGTTCGAAAAATTGTGACAAAGCAATCGAGTTAGTTCAACTTACTATTAAAAACTGGTCAAGAAGGCGTAACGTTTCTCTTTCCGTTCTTAACAAACAACGAACACATCTTTTTTAGGGAAACCAAGTGTATATACATATATACACCACTGAGAGCTACTATTAAATTGTATTTTTGGCAATGTGCAGATTGAAATGTTTTCATTTCCGAATCCATTTTAGAAAACTTTGAATGCACCAATTCGAGAGACAAGCCAGTCTTGAATGATGCAGATTCACAAAATCGAAATATGAACACTGTTGCATACAAACTTACACACAGTGACAACAAATCAATAAAAAATAATCCTAGCAAAATGTCTCAATCTGTGCTGGGTGAGCAGAAACAACATCGTGAGTGATTTCAAAATCTTCAGTTAACTTACCACAAATAATAAGACCTATTGCTAATACAATGTCCTCATCTTATGTTACATTGGATACCGTTCATAATCATAAAGTCTATTCTTTAGTAGTGGTGGATTACTAGTGTGTAATATATTTTCTTTGTATTCTGACTTTTAGTTACAGTGACACTAAGATTTTGAGATGAACTTAATCCGTAACTATGGTTCAGTTTATGAAATCTAGCCGATGTTGATAAATTATATTTAAAGTTACTTTACGCATATAGTATATATTGTTTACGCCTGTTAACGTTTGTGGAGCATAGGCCGCCGACCAGTATTCTCTGAATAACTCTGTCCTGGGTCTTCCCTTCCAGTTGTTCCCAATCACTGTTCTTTCATGTCTATCTCCAACTCGACGCAGTGTGTTCTTCGGTCTTCCTCTTTTCCTTTGGTTCTGAGGATTCCAAGTTAACGCTTGCCTCATGAAAGTATGTATCCTATCCGTCAGCGGTTTCTCCCAAATTCTTCCCGAGCTAGATTCTGGTTTTTTCTCTGCCACAGTAGGTTGTTTCTGATAATGTCTGGCCAAAGGGTCCCAGTATCTTGCATAGATAGTTGTTAATAAATACCCTTATTGTTCGAATCATGTTCTTCGTAGTTCTTCAAGTCCTTGCCCCATACATGACATTGGTATTGAGCGTTGCTAATCAGTGCCTTCACATCTGCGTCAGATTCGCTTTGTTTGTCAAACATGTTGCCCAAGTACTCGAAAATCTCCACATTTTCCAGAGCTTTTTCGAGTGTTATTTAGTTGGTGCATAATGTGTTGTATCGGACGATCGTGCTTTTCCTTTGTGTATGTCGAGACCTGCTGTTCCAGAGGTTGATGCTGCACTAGCCGTCTTCTCCTACATTTGTCGTTGTGTGTAGGAGAAAAGAGCTAGGTTATCTTCTAAATCCTAATCATACAGCTTCATTCTAAGTGTTTACTGTAGTCTGTGTTTCCCCTGAGATGTGAAGTTCTTCATAATAGTCAATAACGAGGATGATGAGAAAGAGTGAGGGTAAGCAACCTTGTCTGCTATCGGTTTTCATTTGAAATGACTCAATGAGCTGTCCTGTATAAACAATTTCCCAGTTTGATCCATAAGAATTCCGTAGGAAGCTGACTATTTTCTCGGGTAAACCATAGTGCCAAAGAGGCTTCTCTAATGTACTTTTCTCCGTGGTGTCAGACGGTTTCTCGTAACCAAGAAAGTTGGTGTCAAGTGTCGAGTTCGATTCAGTTGATCGTTCAATAATGATCCATAGTATTGCGATTTGGTCAGTACACTATCGATCCTTATGGAATCCAGCTTGTTGATCCTGATGTTGGGCGTCTACTGAATCATTCATTCGGTTCCATATCAGTCTATTAAAAGCGTTTCCTAGTATTGAGAGCAGAGTGATGCCTCTTTAGTTCTCTTTTTTGGTAAGATCTTTCTTTTGGCATTTTGATGAGATATCCTTCTTTCCAGTCTGTTGGTGCCTGTTCTTCCTTTCAAATCTTGCTGAAGAAAGCATGGGACATCTTTGCACTTGGTTCTTTGTCTGCTTTCAATGCCTCAGCTTTATGTTGTCTGGTCATTCTGCTTTTCCACTCTTGATTTGCATGATGGCCATGCTAAACTTTTCCATTGTTGCCCTCCTGTTTCACTGTTCTTAAATGTCAGTGATTGGTTTGCTTGCTGTATCGTCGAATAATCCTTCTGGTTTACACTATTTTGCAACGAGCTTCTCCCTTGTATCGTTTAGTTTTCTCGTGTTTGCTTTCCTTTCATCTCTTTTTGCTATGGTCGTTTGATCTTCCACATATTCCCGTTTGTCATGTTTAATGCTCTTTTTTACTGGTTTGTTTGCAATTCTTATGCAGAGTATCAACAGACATCCATTGCTTGTGATGGTACTTCTTGTGACCCGAATCATAATGACATGCTGAATTTATTGCTCTTTTAATTGTTTCCCGGTTGTTTTCTATGATAGCTTCCTCTTCATTCAGGAGATCGTGAAAAGCCTGGTATTCATTCCTCAGACTTGTCTTGAGTTCATTGAGCTTGTCAGTATCCCAAAGAAGGGCTGTATTAAATTTTTGTAATACTGTTTGTCCAGTTGTCCGGTGGTTCTTGAGTTTCAGTAAAATCTTGGATACTATCAATTGATGATCTGAATCTATGTTGGCTCCTCTCTTGTTTCTTACGTCCTCCATGTTCCTTCCGAACCTGGTATTGATGCACTTGTGGTCGATTTGGTTCTATGTAGTATAATCCGGTGAAACCCATGTAGACTTATGTATGTGTTTGTATGGTAATATGATGCTGCCTATCACCATTTTGTCAGTTGTACAGATTTGCAAATGTCTCACAATTTCCTTTTCTCTTTCCCAGTCCATGTCGTCCCATGATATCTTCATATCCGGTGTTATCCATTCCAACTTTGGCGTTTAGGTCTCCAAAAAAGATGGCCAGGTTATTCCCTGGTCATTCTTCTACGATTGATTGGAGCCCCTTATAAAAATGATTTTTACCGTCTGCATTGTTATCGTTTGTGAGCGCATAGCACTAAATGAAATTCATTGTAATTTCTTTATTGTCTTGAAGTATACTTTGATGATCCTGGATCCATAAAATTCTCATTCTATGACTGCCTTTTTTTCTTCATTTGAGAATGCCATTGTGTGCAGGGCATTTTATTCGTTGTGGCTGGAGCAAAATAGCACCTCTCGTGAAGCTAATCTTTTCCCTCTAGCTTGTGTCCAATTAGTTCCAGTTATTCCGAGTGCCACTGGGTTGTATCTTTTCATTTTCGCAGCAAATTGAATGGTTCTCTCGGTCTCACATCACGCGGACATTCCACAAAGGGACTCAGCTTTCACCATGAGGGGTGACAACTGGTCTAGTGAAGACCCTTCAGTTCTCAGGCCAGAGTTTGAATGGTTCGAAAGATGTTTTCTGATTAGCGTTTTTTTAGCAAGTTTGTTTTCTTTATGATGGGGTTGCTAACTCCATGTCCAGGACTACTTTATCCAATTTTGGAAGCATTAATAACGCTCAAACGGCCATAGGCGGAGTTATATATATATATATATATATATATATATATATATATATATATATATATATAAAGCCATAAAATATGATCAAAATGCCATCCGTTATGCCAAAACAGGAGATGCTTTATGTTTTGTTGGGACCCATGTTATCGAGCCTTAACGAAAGAAATGCAATTGTATGATATCTCTTCCTCTAATACGGTTAACAATACTGACAAGTGGACCGAGTCATGTTGGCAGATGTAGGCTATCTGGTTGGGGTCTTCGAGACGATAGTCACCGATGGTTAGGGACCTTGAACGACATGTCTCAGAATCGTTTGCAATGGCGCAGGTACATCCACTGTTTGTGTTCTCTCAAATCCTAACCTTCTGGATTCCTCATAATCTCTACGTTACTCCTGCTAAATTTATCTTACTGAAGTATACTTCTCAAATCATATATTCGCTCCCTAATCTTCTCCATTACTGCTAATACTTCTACTATCACTATCACTTGGATTTGAACTGATAGTTGCGTCTCTGTGCTGATGTGGTATGGCAACGTGAACTGATGCACTTATGTACGAAGTTCTGCGTTGTATCTGTCTGTCTGTTAACAATTAAATCACCTATTTTACCAATAGGATCAGTAACCATTTAAGTGTCAGAATGACAGGTCAATTAATGAACAACGACCAAAGCCTTAACATTTTTCGATTTTTTAACCTAGTGTCCAATCAGAAGATGAAGGTGGAGTGCAGAACAGTCTTCTATGGTACTCAAAACTCGTACAGTAATATGCCTGAAATGTTCGATAATGCAGCGACTTCATTAGAAAATTACGATGCAACGTAGGTATATGTGATACAAAATCAGAGTGTTAGCGGTAAATATGAACTACTAAGAAGCGTGACAATGATTAATGTATCAAACGAAAGCTTTAAAATAGCAGAATTTAACAATCGGCAATCCGTGTCCACTAATTATACAACGTAAATATTTATAATAGCCCGTTATATGATAATCTAAAGAGTTCTACCTCATTACCACTCGTTCCATTATATCACCAACTTCATAAATTATCTGAGGCAGGTACAACTTAACGAAGCGTGGCCAATCGCATTACAACCATTTCTGACAAATACACTTCGTAAGATGTGGATTATTAGACTTTCTCAAAGAGAGCTTTCAATGTCGATATACATAATCCTAGTAATATTTTATCTACTCTGCAATGTTTTGTAATTATTGCATCATTTTATTGTCTAACAGTGAATGTATCCAAACGGTTATACCGTAATATTATTCCTTTTTTTATTTCTCTCAATGTTAATAAAAATACAGCTCGAAAAAATTGTTCAACTTCAAATTGCAAACCTACAAATAATAATTCTATTCATAGTAAAACGAAAGTTTCACAAACACATAAAGCTAAGGAATCTTCAAAATGTCAATCACTTAACTCTGATGCACTTTGTGATAATAATTTTTCTAAATCAACTAATGAACAATCGAAATTATCAATCAGTAATGGTGCGAAAACATTTAATTTCCATGCCGATACAAATGACTTCCAAAGGTATGATTTTCTCAGTTTTTGTTACTACCGTTCATACCATTATCTATTAATCCCTCAAAATGTTTTCAATTCTTTCTCTGGTAAGCTTTATTCGGAACAACTCGTCTGTAACAAGAATCAACGATTCATGGTGCCTATTGTGGCCCAGGACCTCGTGACATGTTGAAGTGATTGCCTCCTTGATTCATTTCCAGTTGTTTTCTAGCGTAGTTTTCTTTCTAATGATTAGATTTTAGAGGCCTAGAACCTATTGCTGAGAGTTATCTTGAATTCGTTGTGTTTGCCAGTATCCCGAAGAAAGGCCGTATTAAACTATGTGATGTTTTCCGCCCCGTTGTCTGGTGCTTCTTGAGTTTCAGTATCATCTTGGATGTTATCGATTGGTGATCTGAATCTATGTTGGCACCTCTCTTGTTTCTTACGTCCTCCATGTTCCTTCTTAACCTGGTATTGATGCAGATATGATCGATTTGGTTCTATGTAGTATAATCCGGTGAAATCCATGTAGCTTTGTGTATGCATTTATGTGGAAATATAGTGCTTCTTTTGATCATTTCATGTCGTACCATTTAGGTCTCTCATTGGAATGGTCAAGTCATTTGTTGGGTATTTCTCGATGAGTGACTGCAACCTCCGGTAAAATTGATCGTTAGTGTCTTCATTGTTATTATTTGTAGGTGCATAGCATTCAATGACATTCATTGTAACCCCTCTTCTTCTTGAAGGATGCTTCGATGATGCTGGATCCATAAGGATCCCACCCTATCAGTGCAGATTTTTGTGTATGTGGAGCATTTCCTTCTTCACGGACGGAGCATAGCAACAGCTCTCCTGGAGCTATTCATTTTTGTCCATCCTGTGTCTAGTGTCTTTCACTGATTCCAAGTACCTCCAGGTTGTATATTATCATTTCTGCAACAACACACTCCTGGTCTCCCACATTGTACGAACATCCCATTTACCTAAATTAATGGTTGCTCTGGTTTTTAGAAGGGGCACTGAGTTTGTTTTCTTCGTCGTTGCATCGTAAACCCCATATCCAACCCTCCTCCTTCATCTGGGCTTGGGACCGAGAGTGGCCACAGTGGGTCTCCAGGTGAAGTTTAATATTACCAGCAGTTCATAAACACTGAGTTCAAAGGATGGATATCGCAGCAAAAATCCTGGATAAATCGGCTCATGAATTCTTTGAAGAATAATATTTTATGCCGCTAAGCTTCATATTACATTCAGCCACCCTGCCATTCATGAATGCATGAAAAATAAATCCCACTTCGGGTCAAATCAACATACATTTATGAGTTTACTTGCTTTTGATCAAGTTTGTATCCGTATGAAGCAAACACTTCATAAACACATTTTAAATTAAAATTACACCAATATCCAAAATTAGCATACCAAATAAACAGGGAAATGACTAAAAATGTTATTAGCGGTCACAATGAATGTAGAATTAGTTGCGCATAACCCCAACCAAATAGTCATGTAAGGATTCATTAAATGTTCAGTTGTAATTGGTTGTTTTCCGATGCCAGGTTTGGAAGAGGATTTTTCTTCGTAGGTGTTATGTTTAGTATAATTATTTAGTAATGAGTTTGTTATCTATATATATTCCCTATCTTCTGAGCTATTGAATAACTCATCAACTGTAGTTGTAGGACTTATTATTTCTAATCTGTTGCAGTTTTGTTATTCACAGTCATCCACATTTGACTCATTCATTTATAGTATTAGGCTGTCCTTCAAGCATAAAGTAACAAGCCTCTCGTCCTTGTTGTATATTGGTTACGTAAAGGTCATCTGCCTATTGGTTGGCGTAAAGAATATAACAGATGTATTACGGTGTATATCCCCATCTGAATTCTTTTGAATTTGTGTTGTCCTCCTCTATAAAGAGGACTGATTCATATTCCTCTGTCCTTATTTAATCGAATTTTGTTTTCTAATCTGTTGTGAATGTAACGGCATGGACAAGTATGCCGTTCTTTTTAATTTATTGTAATAGTAAATCAACTTTAAATGTTAATTCATATTTTTTCGTTAATAATAGATCTGTTCATGATGGAAGTAGTAGTATAAAATCACGTATTCCTATACCGGGTAAGCTACATATATGCTTTTTTGGTTAAAAACTTTGATAGAAGTTAATAATTAAATATTCACTTTTTAAATAATATAGAACAGTAGCTTAGTAGTTATTGTTTAACTATCAACCGCTGTATCTTTATCTTGGATTTTGTTCCATATACCGGTCTGGGTAACCTGATGATATCTTTCAAAAAAGTTCAGATCACAATTGAGTACACAAACTCTTGCTTAGTTATTGAGTTGCGTCATATTGATCAAATTTTTGTTTAAATGATGTTGTGTGATAGCTTAGACTAGTACACGTTCGTACTTAACCCAGCAGCGTAAGTTGTAATTGATAAATGATAGCAAGAATGATTTCTTTTGGTTCTCACTACATATTTACTAACCATATGGGACCAGTGCTTCACACATCATTTATTCTTTTGTATTAAACCTTACGAGTAATCGATTGACTGGTAGGATTTAAACTACAATACTCGGAGGCCTTCTCAATTCATGTTGTAATTTTCTTTATTAGCAATTTTTTGTTTAATGAGTCCGAGGTTTTGAGTCATCTGAAATAAGATTCGAGTGTTTTATCGCATCCTATTTCTGTCGTAAATAACTTTCTTACCACATGAAACATCAGGCTTGAACTTATTTAGTCACAGGAATCAATTTTCATGTTAGGGTTTGGGCAGACATGATTTAGTCTGGTAATTTATGAACTTTGTGAATTTATTGTAAATTAGTAGACTAAATACTTAAATTTCATTTGGAATTTTATCAAATTATTTTTTCTGATGTAAAATTATATTGTTGTGAGAGTTGTTGTTTATGATTATTTCCCAAAAACGTTTAACATGGAATTATCTGTTCTTTATCCTGTCACTGAAAATAAACATTTAAAAAAATGCTTTATTTTTGCAATACATATATCATACACCTACAATTAATCGCCCATGTTGTTACCTTTATCTGAATCATTTCTGATCAAATGGTGCTTAAAGGTATTGATCATAACTTGTATTTTGGTTCTACTTTAAAATCATCCAAGGACACTTCTATAGTAATGAAACTCTAGTTAACTTATCTCCTTTACTTTCATAGACATATTTTTGTTGCATAAAAATTTTTCTTAGTTTTGTTTAAAAATTACTAACAAGTAATGTATACTTCTGTGTCCAAACTCAAGATTAAAAAAGATGCTGAAACTTTTCTGTTGCGCTAGAATTTATCTATATTTATTGTATACCCTTTTCTGGAAACAGCATCATCAATGTACTCTCGTAAATCAACCAAAAAAATAACGAATTTTTATCTTCGCTACTGCGTTCTTGACTCAATAGATTCACATTTTTGATGTAACACAATGTGATATATTACTTGATTCTGTGTCAACTAAAGATCATAAGATAGTTCAATACGACGGCTCACTCACTCTATCCCTCAGGGTTTATTCATATTTGTTGATCAAGACTGGTTATCGAAATTGTCGGCCCACCATGAAAATTTACATCTACTACTACTACTACTGCAGACATTAACCAATACATTTTATTGTATAATGGTTGGGGACGTTAGATCCCCAGATCTCGCTTGATAAAAGCCTTAATTTTGGGTTTCATGTTTGCGAGCATGGGCTGATCATTTGACCTTGAGATTTCGTTTCCCACCAGGAAGATCCTTGGCTGTGATTGGCTGCTGTGTATTTTAGTGTGCTATTTTTGTGACTGTCCCAAGGGCGTTTCTATGATGTATAAAGAAACGAGATTTGTGTGCTTGATTGCAGTGTGATTATTGTGTGTTTGTAGAATATACTTTCTATGCTTATCAAGACTTCTATTTAGCCGTCTGAGATCAAGGTAGCCTCCCTGGACGCTGGTTCATTGTCTCGTTCTAGTTTATCGACCAAGCTGAACCCGTAATTGTTTCAAGCATACTTAGTGATGAACCTGACAATAATACATTCCACCAACTTGATGTATCCTATTATTATGTGTTGAATAATACTTTGGAAATTGACTGTTTGAATTCAATGATTTGTTCATAAAATCAACTGACATACTGATCACTGTTTGTTGTTTGATATCATATCTTATATTTTATTTTCACCAAAATTATTTTGTAATTTACTTTGTATTCAAGTATCTACAGCTTACCGTATGCCAGCAGTTTCATTGCCAAAACACCAAAGTTCCACTGCCAATATAGAATCTCAAGATAATGCTACATTTTCTAATATTGAAAATCCCTATGTACCTATGAATTTTATTCGTACTTATGATGTACTAAATCCGATTGATGAAAATGTAATAATGCCTGTCAGTCACGAACCTGCTAGTATTCTTGGGAATACTAGGAAATTAGACGACGAAGTAAAGTCCCTCTTGAGTTGTATATTTTTATTATATATATTTACTTTAAAAATTCCTTTTCATAAACTAACAAAAATAATATTTCTTTACTAGTTCAGCTTTTCATTCTTGATTTTCACCAAATTTAACTAGTGACAGAGATTTAAATTTAAATACCACCAAAATTGTTTTGATAGGGAAGTTGTGCTTATTATACTGTCATCAGTAGTTAAAAATATGTTCATTCTGATAAATCCCGTATTTCTTACACGGCTCGTTAAAACTTGATCCCCTCTTAGTTTATGTTTACTTAAAGGTGAAGAACTATTCCTAGCTAATGAACCGGTATATACTCAATCCAAAAATAAATAAAGAGTTTTGCAAGCGTTCGTTCTAAGAGATTTCGAGTCCTATATTGTCAGCTTAATCTCCATAAACAAACTGAACGTCAAAATTAGTCAGAAGACTATCTTAATTACTAATATATATACTCATCTTAATCTGCGTGTAGACTCATACTTGGTCATCCAATGATATCTCATTACATAGACAGTGTCGTCCGAATTAATGTTAGTATAAGCAATTAGGATTTCACTATACTAGTGAGGGATTAGTTATAAGATTTCTTATTTTACTTGTCTTAAGTTGGTCAGTATTATTATGTCTCATAATATTAAAATTCATCAACGTAAGCACTTGCAACTTTTCCAGATTGTAAATGTTTCTTTTTTCTAAAGGTTATTTTATTTATATTTGAAGAATCACTAATTGAATTAAGTTCCTATGAAATGTATTCAGAGTGAATGAATAATTTTATTAAATATCTCTCTTATTTCAGGATTCACTTTTGAATCGCAATACAAAACACGAGCGTTTGATTACTCAACAAGATGCTATTTTACAACAGTTATCACAAATTCGTAAGGTAAACCTATCTGTGCTATTTAAAGTTTTTAATTATGTAAATATCTTTTTACTTAAATAATAAGAATTTCCTTTATTATTTGTAAGGTTTTGTATTTTCCTGTTATTTAAATTCAGTATTGAATGTAGCCAGTGTCTGCTGGCATGTGGGTTAGTTGACTTGTGTTTCAGTACTGCGTCCACTTAGAAGCTTTATTGTTAGATAGTGATTTGCAATGGAACTCACGATGCATTTTCATCTGTTTGTGAATCATATCTACATCCCAGTCCTGTTCCTGAAATATATATTAGCCTCTAAGTGTAAATTACCAGATTATTTGCATATAGCTTTCTCAGATAATCGGAAGAAAAGGGGATGAAAAAGATTTTATTTAGTAGGAACTTGGATTAATATTACAATTATATCACTGTTTTCTTTCTATAAACAATTCATCCCATGTTCGTTTTATTTGAAATTATCAAGTTCAATCTTAGTTGTTATGCATGGTAAAGGGGATTTACGTTTCACATATTTAAACTGCTGTATTTTGTTAACAGTACGGTTACTGAACTTGGTATCTTAGGTGTAGGATTTGCGTTGCGTTTCAGCAGCTATACTGGCTGGAACATATGTTCCTGTAGGTTCTGCCATGCCAGGCTGGTCGATTGGAGAACGGTAAGACTAAGAGCAGCTACTCAAGGTCTGAGGGTGAAGTCGTACTGTTGATTGTAGAGGAGTGTGACAGCAGTACGGTGTTCCCCTCGAACAATCAGCATCTGCAACGATGCTGCCTTCTCACAACAGAAAGAAACGGTTAGAAAAGGTCGACCCTAAAGATGTCACGCCTCACCTCACCTCACGGATTTTCGTCTTCTGCGGTCAGGGCTCTTAAACAAGAGCAGAGCTAATACCTTAAAAACTCATAAAGATGTCGTGTGCGACCGGCCTGAAGCAGTTGTCCCTTGGGTTCTGTGGTCACTCTCCCAGGTCGCTACAAACAACGCTAATCCGATTTCCTTATTAGGTTCTTCAAGAAACACCGTTCCACGGTGTGAACAGCCGGGAAGTCACATCCTCCTTCGTACCCATAACAGTACACGAGACCAAATTGGTCACAATCAAATCATTCTTACCCCTAACAACTCACTTATCTCTACGACTAACTCTTCTCACATTCCTTTATCACCCTGTACCTCTAATGATTACGAAACGTTATTCCTGGTCTCCTGAAATCCCGTTCTAAACTACATGTTGAAGCTTTTATTGTCCAGCAGACCTCGAGCCAATTAAGACAACAAGCTTCCTCAACTAGGACTTTAGATTTTGGTGTTACGATATATGTTGAGTCTCGGAAACGCGCATACAGGATCCGAGTAGAATTGCTAGTTAAAATCGCTAGAAATAACAGTTAGGCAACCACTTAAGTGATGCACACTCTGAAGCAGTTTGGAATGATATCCAAAATGCTGTGGAATCAAGAATGATATCTGCCAGTAAGACAAACCATTAGGTTAGGGAGAAGCAGCGGATTTCAGTAGCATCTACTGAACTGACACGCTCGGAAAGCCACCCCACCTGGCTCTGAACATGAGGAGGAGCGTAGTCGGCTTATGAGCAGGCTGATGGTACGTCTATGCGATGATCGCGGACAGTAGTGGGTAAAGAAAGCAAGGGAGATGGAAAAAAGCAATGACAACAGGTGATAGTAGATAACTGTTCAGACTTATGAAAGAAACCGGAGTAAGAAATTCGACTGTTAGTGAGATTTTTCGGAAAATGTTGGGACTATTATTTATTTTCAATCTAGGAGATTGGATCAATAGGCAGAACACTTTAGGGATCAGTTCAACTAGCCTTCAGCCACCTCGGTTACCCACGATACCCACTCAACCAGAATGGCAAGTCAATGTAAGACCTCTGACTGACGATAACGTCTAAAAAGCTATTGGGAATGTAAGGCGAGGAAGGGCAGCAGGTTGTAATAAGTTAACTCCTGAGATTTTTAAGGATTGATGGTCCAGTTTTAGCAGTTAGGTTTACTGAGATCTTAGGTAGAAGTTGGGAACTGAACGTAATCCCACCTGGATGGTCTCAATCCCTTATTGTCCCAATTTATAGAAAAGGACAAAGTCCATTGTGACAATCACAAAGAAGTCAGTCTGACTAATGGAGTCTAAATTGTTAGCCTCACTGATATATAGACGATTAACTTAAGCTCGTGAAGAGCAGAATCGAGAAAAAAAGAGTGGTTTCGGACCTAGACGTGGCTTTTAGACCACATATTCACACTACGACATGTCCCAGAAAACATAGACACACATTTCAGCGTCTCACTATAGTTGTCTTCCTGGACCTTAAGGCGGCATTCGACTCTGTGAATTGTGATGTTCTATGGCAGTGTCTGTCATTAAAAGGTGTACCGAAGAAGTACATTAACCTTATGCAAGCTCTGTACTCGAGCACCAATAGTCGAGTGAGAGTTTTCTAACTCCTTTAAACAACAATGCAAGCATGTTCGGGATGCGATTCTCCTCATCGAAGTGCAAAATTTCGCTTCAGGATTGGCTTGCATTGGCACTTGAACTAATGACAATGAGTGTAGCATTTGAGTATGTTGACGGCTTCACTTATCTCGGGAGTCTGATCAGTGCTGATGGTCTGGTATCTGGCGAAAACTGTGCGCGTATAGAGAAGTCTCGATTAGCTTTTGCCGACCTGCTTCACTTATAGCCTAGGCTAGATATGCATTTGCTAACGAAGGGATGAGTCTACTGTGCAGCACTGCGCTACGTCCTGGTATATGGGCGTGAAACATAGCCACTACCAACGGATGATATTTCTTGTTTACTGGTATTTGATCTCAGTGGTTTCCAAAGCGTTGCTTGTATATTTTGTGATAATCGAGTAATCATTGGTGTGGTTGCGAAACGCCTACTGGCAGATCATTAGATAAAGTAGTGTATGATCATCATGTACTTACAAAGTTCTACTTTGTAGTTGACTTACTGGCTGAACGATTAACAGATCATTTCATCCTTATATTTAAAATTGAATAAATAAACATTACTTCTTATCATCTATCCAAATAATTCAATCACTATTCTTTATGAATAAATGCTAACATGTATCAAAATTAATTCTATTCATTAATTCTTTTTTACTCTTCAGGGGTTACAACTACGTCAAGTGTTTTATCAATCAGGTGCTTATGAAGATGATTTTAATGATTGAATAGCAGATGCAATGCATGTGTTTTATTAGTACGGTGAAATTGTTCATAACAATCAAACAACATATCATTTTTACATAAGACCAAAAAAAAATATAATTATTTTTATCTTTATATTTTTTTGTATTATGTAGATTTTCTGTAATAATTTGTATCATTAATTTTCTCTTTGCTCAGTATGATGATTATTATTCTTCTTGTGGAGGAGGAGGAGGAAGAGGAGTACAATGGTAGAAATAAACATATCATCATCATTATCATCATCATTATGATTAATTTTTTTTTCTAACATTCAGTTCCTTGTTCATTCATTTTCCTATTATACTTACTTCCGGAGTAACGTCTAATGGTGTCATTTTAGAAAACATTTGATTGGTATATATATGGCATTTACCGACTTATTGATACTGGTGTGGACTTGGCATTGAAAGTATTCTCATTCAGACAATATAGGACAACAGAATTTTTGTTGATACAAATAAACTTCTTTTATTTATTTATTTTGTTTTCTGAACCATTGTAGTTTGATTTTGTGCATTTAAGATTTCGAATAATATTATATATATTTTGAAAAAAATATAAATTTATTAACAAAAATATTTTCTCAAATCTTTGTTATGTGTTTATGTGCATGCTCTGATTTAATTTATTCACAATTGATTGTTAGAGTTTTGAAATGATCAATACACTGTTTTATAAAACCAGTCATGCTAAACAAACCCATGATTGTCCAATGTCAATTTCTTTTGTTGAATGACAGATCCAAAATAATGTTCGGGTTTATTATGATGAGAGATAGCTTGTAGTAGTAGTTCACACTGTCTGAGACTGTATCAAGTGAATTGATTGTCTTTTGTATTTGTTTTCTTGTATAAGCTAAATCTATCGGTTTAGAGAAAAAGCATTCAAGTAAGTTAGATCTTGGATAATTGCTGATTTTAAATTAACTTCTTTATATATGGCTTTGATAAAGTTGTGTTTATTGTAAATAATATTACTCGACTAGGTTGTCAATTGGAATAATCTAAGTACTAGTATTATGAAATCACCAACCTGATATGAAATGGTATACTTCTTTTGCAGCCACACTTTAAGTATATCAGGCTAGTAGTGATATCTGGTTATCCAAACGACAGTAGATGATATAGGTTCAAACATAATAGTTACTGACTAAATGTCGAGCTTTTTAACCAGTCAGTCTTTACTCCATACTCATCCATTATTATTTTTCCGAAAAGAATTTTACGTCTACTGATTTATATGAACTTAAGTGTTTTAAATCAATTGCCTAATTATTCCGTTTTTGATTATATGTTAATCATCCCTAGATACTGACTTTTCGTTTATTTGACGTTATTTCTTTTTTTTTTGTCGACGTTCGTTTATCGTTACTTTTCTTTTCTTATCTTTACAGATAGTATCTTTTGTTATGGATTAGAATTTTGTTTTGTTTTCTATACTATTAACAAATTGGATGAGATATATTCATAACATTTCCATTTATAAGTTTAATTACTTCATGAAGGTTAGTATTAGTTTTTTGTATGTAATTGTAATAATTTATACTTAGTTTATTTTCACATACGTTAACAACTTGTTAAAAATAATGTATGTACAATCTTTTTTTTTGTATGTGGAGATAGTATTCATTTACTAGTAATTTACTTATTGAATTTTATTGTCATATTATTTCTCCTGAAGTTCGTTAATCGATTAGAAATACACCAACATTAAGTTCTAAATATGATTAGATATTTTAACACTTGCTGAATAACTAGTACACTCAACTAAAAACAGATTTTGTGACAAAATGCGGATACTAAATTCCAATATTTATCAGTACTTAGAAATTATAGCATTATTTCATGTTTTAATGTGTTAGAATGTTCATCTTTTAAAATTGTTTTAATCTTTAAGCGGTTTTTTTTTAATTTCTGTTCTTTCTATTCTCTTTAATCACATTAATTTAATTAGTCATAGAGTTAATTAACCAGCTGAAATCAATAATGATGATCACGCAGTTAAAACTCAAAATCTCAATGGTTTAATAGTATCATGCTTGTCATGAGACTTGAATGTCAAAAAGCGTTCACTGATAATGGGTTTCAAATTAGTATGTGATATTTATCCATTATATACTATAATTGCTCTTGTGTCTCTGAACAATATTATGCCCTAAAACAAGTTACTTTGAATTGTACAGAGAAGTTACGCACAATACTTTATGGAGTAGTTGTATTGTTACTACGCTTTACAGTAACTCTGTTAACCCATTTAAATCACTTGAGAAATCATACTGATCAGTGTCTATTGTTATCGACCTTTTAATGTTGATTATTCCAACAAACGTCCTTAAGGGAAAATGTTAGGCTTCAGAAACTCTAATAATATATATAATATATGCTACGATATCAAATCTTTTTTCCTTTTCAACAAACAATTTATTGTTTCAACCAAAGACTGAATAGTTATTCTAAATCAATTAAAAACCCTTAGAATACTCGTAATCTAGATTTAAAGTAATCTCGTTAGCGCATACTAGTGTAAGTTAACCTTTTAACTACAAATTATATGCGTTTACTTGATGTATTTATTATTGGACCAACGTAATATCATTACATGTTCAGTGAATTGCACTTTGATTCAAAAGAACCCCTAGTGAAATTTTAAGAATCTTTGAAAAGCATGATTTTGCTTCATTTTTACATAACCTATCACTGTATACGATATTAGTCTTTCTACTTTGTGACATTTATTACGATATTGTTTTTTTACAAAAACTACGTGTTTGTAAGGTGTTAACATTACTCATCACATCAATATTTTTCTACATATCTTATATACTTTGTATTCAGCTTATAAAATATCAAATGAGAAAAACCAACACAATCTTATCTCGTCATTTACGAGTGTATAGTTTATTCTCATATATTGTATGGTTGTTACTTATCGGTGCATTCTTACGCACAACTTGGCATCTATCCTATTTAATCTGGAACCAGTCAGGTTATGGTAATGATGCAAATCTAGCGTATTATAAAAAACATTGGAAACCAACTATTCACACAGTACCACGGTTAACTGATGCAATGCTTAATTTATGGCCGATGTATATTGCTAAAGATGTTTTGCCATCACATGATGTTGCTTTGGTAAGTTAAATTATATGTAGTACTTTTAATAGGTATATGGAAATATTGAATAATTTGTATGAATTCATTTCGATGAATACCCCAATATAAGACGAAATGTTATCATTAATAATTGTTGCCTGCATTCACAAGAGTTTTTTTTAAAAACGGTTAATTTTTGTTAACAAATACGCATTCTACTTCTAACCAATAGGTCATGTGTTTGACTTTTACTCGATCTATTTGATTTCAAGGAACCGGGTAGTATAACTGGACCTTACACGAACAGAATGGCTTAAGGTAGATTGTATAAGCTTGTAATTGATAAATAAATAATAATTGTTATTATTACTAGAGTAGAGAAAACCAGGGTGGTTTCAGACCTGAACGTGGATGTATAGACCAGATATTCACTCTTCATCAGGACATGGCACATTGACACACATTTCGGTGTCCCACCTTAGTTGTATTCTTTGACCTTAAGGCAGCATTTGACTCTGTTGATCATGAAGTTCTGTGGTATTGTCTGTCATTGAAAGATGTGCCAGAGAAGTACGTCAACCTTTCACTGGCTCTCTACTCGAACCCCAATGGTCGATTGAGAGCTTATGACGAACTGTTATCAGAATTGATTACTTCAAGTGGTGTTCGTCAGGGATGTTCACGCTCTATCCTTGTTTAAACTTGTCATTAACGTTCCTTCAGAAATACGATTATCTTCGTCTGACTTTTCCGGAGTGGACCTTCCACCAGCAGGCACGGCTGTTGACTTAGAATATGCTGATGACATAGTTCTATTTAGTGAAGACGCTGACGAAATGCAGTCTTCTCACTACCTAAAACAACAATGCAAGCATAATCGGGATGCGACTCTTCCTATCGAAATGCAAAATTTTGCTTCAGGATTGGCTTGTATCGGCAATTGAACTAGGGATATGGAGTGAAACAATTGAGCATGTCGACCATTCCAGTTATTTTGGAAGTCTGATCAATGCCAATGGTCTGCTTTGTGATGAAATCTCAGCACGTATAGAGAAGTCTCTACTGGTTTTTGTCAACCTGCTTCACTTATGGCGTAGTTGAGATATCGATTTGCTAACGAAATGAAAAGTCTACTGTTCACCACTGCGCTACGTCCTGATATATGGGCGTGAAACATGGCCACTAAAAATGAATGATATCTGTGGGTTACTGGTATTTGATTGCAGTGGTTATTGAAGTATTGCTTACATATTCTGGGATAATCGAGTAAGCAATACTGTTTTTAGGACGTGAATACTAGGTAGGGATGGTAGACCAATAGATGAAGTATTGAAACTTCATGAGTTGACCAATTTGGGACATGTAGTACGAATGCTTGACCACCGAAAGCTAGGGGCGGCCAAGCCAAAACATGGCACGAATTGATGAAGTCATTGAAAACTGGATTGGGTCACTGGTGGTAGGCGCAGACTACTTGTTTGGGGTCCGCGAGATGATAGCGTTCGGTGGTTGGAGACCCTGAATTACAAGACTGAAAATCGTTTGCAAGGGCGCAGGTGCATCCGTTCTTTGTGTTCCCTCTAATTCTAATCCTCTAAATTCTTCATCACCTTTATCTTTCTCTTTTTAACCTTGCCTCAACATATTGTACTTCCTAAATAATATGTTGGAACCCTAATCTCTCCGATTACTGTTAATACTTCTACTACCTCTCCCACTATGGGATTTGAATTAACAATGTCGTCTATATGCTAATGTACGTATGTACGAAGTTCTTCGTTGTAACTGACTGACTGATTGGCGGATGATTACTCTATTGGTGTAAACGTTTGTTATGTTCTGTTTAAATTACTTCGGATAATTAGCACTTAAACGCTTGAGAAAGCATCGTATACTTGTACTATCTTTGGATTTCACTCCACATACATTAATTTAAATTGATTAACTGTCTAGATTGATATAATCGATTCTTTCAGATATTATGTAGATCTAATGACGAAAAAGTATTGACTGTGTACCAAATTTATATATACGGTGTTTATAGACTTGATATTTAGTCTAGTTTTTCTTCTAACTTTTATTGACTGAGACGTTATTATTATTATTATTATTGTTATTTTGCCCTAGTTATTATCATGGAATATTTTTCTCTAAAGGCAGTTTATAAAAAGCCAGAATATGTTGAATAATTATTCTGCTTTGACCTAAAAATTAACCATGATCATCTTTTATCTATGGAAACATTTTAAGCAGCCATTTTATCTTTAAAAAGAAATCTACAGTTGTTCTAATTGTCCTTCTGGGTTAACATCATGTGATTAGTACTTTCCAACTCTTTTTCTTTATAATCCGATATTTGATCTAGAAATGTTTGCGGATATGGTTATTCTCCAGTATAGTTCGAAATAGAGTTTTGTAGCATTTATGTGTTTAGAAAATAGATTTTGTTTAATGGTTAATTGGTAATACAATTCATTTATCAAGTCTGTTAAACATTTTATCAATTATGCTCTGGTTATTTTATTTTCACTATTTTCATAGATCAGTTTCAGTAGTCAACCACCATTCCCGTTAAGCACCAGTCAGTCAAATTCTGTCACAGGATTTGATGAACGAGAACAATACCGAGTATTCTTGACTAATGTACTTCATGGTAAGTTTATATTATTGAGAATATTAGAATTTAATAGTTTTGATCTGTTTTAGGTTGTGTTTTTTTGTATTTCTCATTTGTACTCACATTCGTGAAATATTTGTTTCGAAGGTAGATGAAAATTATTGTTCACGTTTTTTTTATTGTTTCAAAATAGGTTTTGATTGTTCTAACTTAAAAGTGATTAGACACTTTTTCTATATCCAATTGACAGTTTGTTTAAAATTAATGAGTACATTTTTCACTTGTATTATTGAAATTTATGACATTAATTACTTCTCTATCTGGATTTACATTGAGTAATAGTGAATTTGTTTAGGTTTCTTTTCATAAACGCGTTTATTTAACTATTATTATTATTATTACTTCGATTATTCAATGCTTATGTCATCATCCGTACTTCGTGCTTAACTACAAACAATATATTTTAATGCATTTTTGTGCTTTCAATTAGATTCATAATTTTCACATACTATGTGTTAATCAAAACAATACATGAATATTGTATTTGTTTTATATTCAATATGTCATCAGTTTATAATTACTTAGCAATCATATGAGTTGAATGCATTCTAAGAAGAAGTTAACAAGAATTTGTACAATCTGGAAAGTTAATTTGCTCTAATGCCAGTCAAAAGGTTCATGTAATATAGGTGAAAAATGTGATCATTATCGTGTTTCAACAGTATGATTAAGTATAAACTGATCGACAGAAAAGTATATAAAATTATTAGACAGATTAATTATAGGATTAACTTAACACGTTTATTGTTTATCTTTTTAATGCCAAACTGAAGATGACCGTGATCAAGCTGCATTCCAACAAACATTGCAAATTCATATTACTATATTATGAGTAATGATTTAATATTGGTATTTGCTAATTTTCGTCGCTCATTTTAATTTGTTCAATCTGTCTGTTTGTTAGGCTTCATTTTCTCATTCTAACGTCCCTATTTTTCAGCGAAATAAAGCCTTCTTCGTTTGTTCGCAAATTTTCATTTCATACACAATAGTTCCCGTTTATCTTCTTGAAGAGAGCGAGAACAAACATTTGAGCAGAATAATATGAATTCAGAGTTTTCAATACAGATCTATGCAAGTTTTTTTAAAGATGTTGATTTATAAGTAGTGGATAAAGTTGATGAATTTTATCCGTTATAGGATGGTGAATTAATGAACCAGTTGATCAAAAGCACTGAACTCAGTCATTCAAAGAGTAATTTTGTTGATTCTTTGTACGATTTGAGGATACGTCGGAAATTTACAAAGTTTTTACAAATTGACATTGAAAACAGCTTGGCATGACTGACCTGACTGTTGTCACTTCTCTTGATATTCTGCAACGCGTATGAAATTCATCAAAAAACGACTCCCTGAACAATCATTCAGGTCATCGAGAAGGTCAAAATCTTCAAGAACTTCCATAAATCTCTATTGAAAACTCTGAATTCATGTTATTCTGCTCAAATTTTTGTTCTTGGCTTCTTATTACTATCATCGCACAAACGGGGTTAGCCTAATTATATAATATACGGAAGTGGAAAGGAAAATCTATTTCCTTTGCACATATGATCATTCGTCCACATTGAAGTCCAGTAGTGAGCCGCTAAACGTTGACAATTTTCGTTCATTATCATTCATTCTAGTTAATTCGAATCGATCACAATCATTAGTGTTGAAAAACAGGTATATCACTTTTGTTTGAAAACTTGTCAAACAAATTTATTATACAAGATGTTCAAAACAAATACAGCAAATTTTCATCTCGTAATTTTCTCTCATTTCATTTACGATTTCTTTCCTCATTATGTTTTTGACATAACTTTCGATGTTTATCATACTTTTATATTTCATTAGTTATCTCAATTTGTTTTCATCGTTTTCCCCACTTATTTCTCTCACTAGTTTCATTCGAAATCTATTTCCAATTTATGATTTAGTGTTACATTTTAATGCTAACTGATATACACAGTTTGATGATTGCATAAATTGTTTCGATGGTCGTAACCATGGTGATCTTAATACTTATCATTGCACTGATCAATTCTGTTTCGGTCGAATAGTGCTAGATTTTCACTAGAGTATGGATACCCTAGTTAGTAGTATAAATCTACTGTGAATATATATTTCAAGAGAAATAATCTCAGAATATCTGTATGATAATATTTATGATTATATCGTTAAAATTTAAAAATTGATCTATTAAAGCTGCACGCTGGTATTTGTCATTATTATCTCTCGCTGAAATATAGAGTGAGATCATGAAGTATCAATAGATTACAAAGTATAAGATAGAAGATCATTGAATAATTTGTACTTGATACTTAACATTTGGATAACTTGATTTTATTGATGCAGCATGTTTCTGTTACAATTGTCAACTGTGATATGTAATGGAATGGTACAGATTTTGTATAAAGAACCAAAAATTTTCTCTCATTAAACTGCCTTCATGTTTTAGCAATATTATTGAACAAAATTGTTTAGTTTATTTCTCTTAAATTTAGCCAATTATAAAATAAGTTGACACTATTTGATCAATAAAATTCGAAAAATGCAATAGCTCATAGTATCACTATGGTTACAACTGAACAAACGCTGTGTATGTAGTCATCAAAATATGTGTATGTATTACTTGTTATATACAAAGTAAACTAAGGTCAATTAGTTCTTTCTTACTGAGATTGGAAGTTTAAATGATGGTCATTTTTGATTCAAAATAGTTAGCGTGAAATAAAATTAATTGTACCAAAGAAACGATTCCAAGTTTTTGTTTACAATTATAGTAGTTGTAAACAATGTAATAACTGTAAATCTTGAAAATGATGATCGAACGTGATTATATGTTCAATTAATTGTTTCGTTTTGATAGAAATGATGTAGATCAAATATGAACATTATTATTATTATTATTATTATTATTATGACTTAACGATGATTTCTTCTGTTGTTGTTTAACATGTTTACTGTAGGTCTAATCACCCGATTGATATGGATTTATCCATCCTCGAAACAATCATCCGTTAATCAATTTTATAAGAAATCACAATTTTATGTTGGTCTAGCTCAAATCAACTTAGTGCTACATGTTAACAGTAATAATAATACTAATAATGAGTCAAATGCTAATTTTCCATCAACAATTATAACTTTCTGTTTATGTAATGCAATTGAAAACTTTTGCCATTTGCCGTTGTTACCCTCAGTATGTTATTCACGTGTATAGAAGTAAAGTTGTTGTGACAAGCATAGAATTTTATTTGTTGGTTACTTCATTACTCTTACAAATTTATTTTATTTAGTGTTTAAATATATTTCTCTTGCTTGTTCTTTAACTCTTGGACAGAATGTTACAACTTACCGATTAGTACTTGACGCAGTGCATAGTTAGTAAACAGCGTTCACTCGTATCTATCATAAAATGTGATGTATTCTCGTCAATTATATTGTAGGCTTATTTTGTATTATGTAGTTACAGGTTTCCATGATAGTTGGGACACATCAGGATAAGTATCTACAATATTTGGGGAACTGGTGATCCCCGTGGACTCTATACCCGTGCCATCAACCGTAACGATCTGAGACTAGCTCACTGAACTATACACACCATGACTGGCATCTTAAAGCTCCGATATATTTACATCGATTGACTAGTGAGTTGAGACCAATATTATGTTCGCCTAACCCTTAGTATTATTTGAATTCTATCGGTCGAGTTGCAGTGTGATCATTAATCCAAGTGAATCGTGCACTATTTCCAGATTGGAGCCTAATCGATATAATTCAATCAGTACTAATTACATTGGATACTACTCAGTGATCAATCAATTCAAATCATCAGAAGTTTATTGCGAAAAATTATTCTACACATTTAAATGATCATCAAATAAATATTAATATATTATAAGACTGGTGTTAGTGACTTTCCGCTTAATCAATTTCCCGAATGCCTAATGACTGTGTCAGTCATAATTAGAGCGATAACGAATAGCTTATAACACTGAGTGTGAGTCGCACCATCTCGAAATATATGAAGTTATAGAATGGCATCACTTTTAATTATTACCAGTTTTCGTACAGTTTTAAAGTCACTTTGATACTGGAAGACTATGTATTTGATTTCATGGTCAATAGAGTAAGCATTCAACTTTTAGATTTCCATTGCCTATCTTTCCAACACCAAACCATAGTACAAATTAACTGGTAACAACTGATTTTTTTTATTGAATAGTAAATTTAGATTTAGTTTAATGTAAAAAATCACTCTTTATTAAGTATCATGTGACTTCGTCCATTCACTTTTTGTAATAAAACAATCTAATTTTCAGTCAACAACTCTTCATGTGCCACGACATTCTTGTTCAATGGATAAAAGTTTGATTTATGAAGAACTTGTCGATTTAATGGCCGAGTCACTTTTAACTCAAGGTAAAACTGAACGTATGACAAAGGATTCCGTTTATTTGTTTTCACGTGAATCGTATTTTCAATCACATAAATTAACTCCATCTAAATCGTCAACAACATCACCACGATCTTATACTTCATCATCTCATCGTAAATTAACTGCATGGATTAACAATCTATTCATATTACACATTGATATGAATTATTTCATCGAATCTATTACAACAGTAAAGAATACGTCTTCTGATTTATCTGCTTGGTTTATTGATTATCTTCAAACAAATTCATCCAATGACAATAATGTTAACTTGAGCACATATAAACCTCTATTGAAGAATTCTTCTTTAACTTCACATGAAAGCGATAATTATGATGTTGACGATAAAGTTAATAGCAGTAATGACAATCCAATCCGAATCAATCCAGCTTCATTAATACATCAGGTTTGTTTTGCTTGTACTGAAAAATTTTCTCCATGCAACATTTGAAAATGTTTAAACTTTGTATTAGATTATTTTTTATTCAGAAAAAGTGCAAATCATCGGATAAGTAGTACAGGTTTATGCACTCGTTATTGTTTATGTTCAGGCTAGTGACACTACTGGAGCGACTAAACCAAAGACGATGGAATTGAGGTTCAGTCTTGTAACCTAATGGAAGTCGAGGTCTCTGGGCATTCAGTCATCACTCTATAGGTTGCGTAATCGAAACTCAAGATCAATGTCATTGGATTCATTAATCATTCATAAGCTGTGTTCTATTCTTAGGTTCAGTGTTAAACCATGTCGATCTTCTTACTATTGCCTTTACATAAATTGCTTCTGGTGTTGACATCTAATGTCTGATTAAGTGTTGTTTTTGTGGAGAACTTACACACATTCATAGATCGAACCCTACTGGTTTAGATTTCTTGAAAATCACGATACATTCTGACAGAAGTTCCTTGATGCACATTTCAGATCTTAGTAAATTTACGTTAGAGCATGAATAATGTTCGTACTAAATTACAAATTAACTGGGGTTGGGAATGTGTACCCGTAGATTCTTACTCAGTTGTCTATATGCACTGTGTATGACACAAGACTTACAATCATTGATGTAAATACTGACAATTCATTGGCTAGCTTGAAGCAAGTCTTCAGTTCTTCATGGTAGTCGAGAGTTTTTCAACTGATTCAAAACGTTTTAGAATTTGATAAATCTACAAAAATCATCTTCCCAAAATTTATTTTCAAGCCGAATTTAATTTTATGTGATAACTAGTTTTGCTATCACTAATATTCACCAGTATTTTCTGAAACAAGACTAAATTATTGTATAATGTTTGGTCACACTTATTGATTTGCTTTATTCTCATAGTTAGTTTCGTTGATAATCTTCTTAAGTTTTTTCTGTGTCATGCATTTAAACTTGTGTTAGTCATGTTTTTAATTGAGCCAATCTCAGGTTAAATACTAATTGAACTAATGATAATGATGAAATATATAATAATATTAATTATACAGCGTGTTTTGTTAATCTCATCGATGATAGTACTTAAACTGAATAATTTGGAAACGATAGGCAACCAATTAATTGTTAATGATATACTTTTCAAACAAGTTGTCTATCAAAAATACTGCTTTAATCTGTTCATTTTGTTTAATAGCGTTATAGAGTAACCTAAGCTTACATTTCAAAAATATAGGTCAAGTTCTTCTAATACTGTGATTTCTCAGCTTATCAAAAAACTTAGTCATCTATCAACTAATCAGTCAGTTTCCTTACTGTCACGTTACATTTTCGAACACTGTACATCATGTGATAGTTAAGTTTTTGATACGATTAAACGTATCAAAACTATTTGTTATTTGTATAGTAGTAGTAATAGTAGTTTGGCATACTTGAGTTATTAAAATTAAGATGGTTTTTCTAAAACAAATCGAAAAAAATTTAAATGATATTAAACATATTGTTTCTTCCAAAGTTATAGCGTTGATAAGATATCCGTCTGTTAATAAAGAGGGAAGTATACAAACCAGTGAATGAGTAAGTAGATCCTCCTCGGTCGAGGTAGCTAGGAACTCTGTTACGCCGTCCGACTTATTGCCTACCTCGACGCGTAATGTTACCTGGGGCAAGGATAGAATAGACAAGAACCAGGAGCGATCATGACACTACATGTCATCATTATTCTTCATTGAGTGACAACTCAGAATTGGTCGTAATGGGGCAGATGAATCTTCTCTCAATTACTTTTACCATGAGGTAGGTAGTTTCCAAGCTACTGTCTTTCTAGACACAAAGGTCATGTGAGTATTGCCAATTTAAAGGATCTTTCCCAAGTTTGTCATGATTATTTTTCTATCCTTTAAAAATATTCATTTTACGCCTACTATACTACTGTTATTCATTAGTGTTTCTACTAAAATTTCTATTCACTTTAATTCTAATTTAAAAAAAAGATCAGAAGTGAAATAGTTTGAAAAAAATATTCATTTAACGTTAATTTTTGTGCTAAATTGTTCATAAATATTCTTTTTTTTCCAATTTACATTTCAGTATACTACACAATTAAAAAATGTATATAATAAATTATCATTAATGGAGAAAAATTATTCAATTGACAACGTCAATCAATTAATTGATTCAATGCTTCGTTTTATGACGACTGCACAACATCCGAATATGTTATCCTACTGGTCGAATGATACATTGATATCTAGTTTATCGTGTTGTTATTTAAAACCATCGGTTGAATCGATTTCATTGAATTCAAATGGAAAAATACAAATTTTTAATCAATGGAAAGACAAATATCGGACAGCATTTTATTTTCTTGATAATTACTGTTCATATTCGGATGCAATGATCAACGTTTTATCAAATAAATTGAATGTAAATAAAGTTCTATTTTTTTTATTCTTAAAATGATATTTGGTTTCTGTTCTTCTGATATATCTGCCTATATATTATCTTGGTTCGGTCGTCATCATATAAGTATCTAACTGTAGGATCTCCAACGTTTAAATTTTCGATTATGTACTCCACCATTTAGTAGATACGTTGTACTATATTTGATATGATGTATGTTTAGAGCGTTACCTGTATCATCAACAAACTAAACCGACTTCGACAAAATCTTCAACTTAACTGTAATATCCAGTTAACTAGTAACTTCAAGATATCCCTGAGTTTCAAGTGGGAATTCGTGACTGATAGTATTAGATATATCGAGCGTAAAACAGTTGTCATCATCCAGATTGATCGCAAATTGATTGAAGTTGGCACTGTATCAGTGTGAGGTAATCTGTTGGTGAGATTTTAATGTTTGAGCGTTCGCCACAAAACTAGAATACCTTGAATTCGATTTCTGCTGAATCCTAGTTGCACACTGCTGAAAAGATCGTTTCTAGCACAGAAGTGATGTTCCTTGCTCTCTGGATCTCGGTAATACCTCAACTGAGATTAGTGTACGACGAAGATAATCAATAACCTCAAAACAACACCTGCTAAAGCATATGTTCTATTGCTTAATGTGACTAATTAGCGTTCTATCTTTGTTAGATTTATAAAAATCAATTATTACGGTTTGTTCATCACTAATGAGTGTTACTTCGATTCATGTTGCACTTCAGAAGAAACTGTTGACTATTTTCTTCTATTCCCTTCCATAATGTTATGAAACTACCATTCAATTCACTTTGAAATATATTTTATCGTGTTATAAACGAAAATTGCCCGAAAAATTTAGACTTCAACGAAATAATATAGTCTTAAAATACACTATGGTTTAAAAATTTTACTTTATTGCTACATACACTGATCAAACTTATGTCAGCTTACATTTCAATGTTTAGATTTGTATTTACATTTTATTCAATAATTACTTATCATCCATTAAAATTGTGATGTTGTAAATTAGTGTGTCCTCAGATATTCTATCATTTAGTCCCTTTTTTACCTTCATGTTTTACCTTAAAAGATAATAATTTAAATAGATTCACTCAGAAAAGTAACATAATTTATTTATACAGTGAATAATCAAAATCATCATTTAGTCTGTATAACTTTTTCAAATTGATCATTGTGCCTTTATGTGATACAGAAATCCGACAACGGACACCATCTCGTAGATAGGTACTATTCAACATTCTTATCTATTTTTATCTGTAGTACAGTTGTTTCACGATGAAAGTATTTACTTGAATAAATAGTTTGTAAAATGAACTACAAGCGATAGCATATGTCAAATTTGCAGCTATTAACTATTATCTTTCTTAATAATAATAATAATAATAATAATAATAATAATCTTTCTATTTTCAGGCTATATTTGCGATATCATCTTCAACTGACTTGATCTCAAACTACTTTTTCCTTTATTTACAATTTTACATGAACCTAGTTATAGTTATGTTGTTTTTTTTCAATGTAAAAATTGTTACTCGTAGTTTCGTTTTTTTTTAAATTTCCACCTTATTTCGATTTTATTTAAAGATTACGACAAATGCCAAAGAGGAATTATCCAGCTTATGGAATTGGTTGTGTGCATTGAATGCAATTAAATTAAAATTCATCAGTCAATTTGTTGCTTGTACCTATAAAAATGACAGCAGTCTTCCAGCATCGATCGGTCTGTGTACTCGTGAAAAATCAACATCAATTTCATTTGATAAAACACCCATAAGTCAAAGAAATTCTCTTACCTTACATAGATTGCAAAATATCATTATGAATTTACGTCGTCCATTATTGGTGAATTTAGTAATGTAAGTAAATAAAATTTACCTGAATTCAAAAAAGTCTGAATAATTAATGTGCATATGAGTCTTTGACATTCTAAGAATGTTTCTCAATTGATTTTTTTGTTGGTGGTAAAACTGTCATGATTGTAATCATCGGTGTCAAGGTTTTTTTCAACTAAGAACGTGACATACACCACAGATTTATAAATGACTGCTTAATTTAGATAGAATCGAAATAAATGTCACTTAATTATTGCTGGATTGAATTTCTAACCTACTTGTTACCCAGTAGTTCCAAGTAAATAACTACAGTGGGATCCATTTTACATCTGGCTGCTTACCTTTTGTCAGTTTACTCGAATTACTGACACAGTGTTACATAACAGTAAGATAGATGAATTCTTACTTAAAATCGTGACCCGTTGTAATGAGGGCGATTAGCCTGATCCATAAATGATGATTTCGTCTCATTTTGTAGGGATAACCCGAATTTTTCGCATGTTGTAGCGTAATAGTGTCTTTGAACCGGTTGGTCATTTATTTACTGACCAAGTCTTTGTTCTTTACTAATTTATCATCCTCTTTCAACCCTAGTCTCTGTGCTAATGTGGTATGGCAACCTGAACTGATGTACTTACGTACGAAGTTCTACGTCGTAACTGACTGACAGACAGACACAGTTCCGGAGAATAACAGATTACAATAGTATTTACCTTTGGGTTACGTTGATTCACTAAAGCTGTTCAAAGAAAGTACACCGAAATGCTACAAAATTGGTAAAAATAAGACTCGAATTGGTTTGAGATACGTTCTCATTACAATCAATTGAGATTTCTTCTAGTGTAAACTGGATCATAATTAAACTCGATAGATCGAGTTATCCTTAGTGAGGTGGAGACAAAGGGTAGTTAGGTGAAGCTTGATATTCCTAAAGTCGAATTAAGCATAGAACAACTCCGTATATATAACAACAAACGTGATTTTCGGATGTTGTGAGAATTATCAAACAAAAATGGAAACAATTCATCATATAATAACAAAAGTCGGTACAAAAATGGGAATTCGAAAAAGTATTGTAGTTTCATTAAACAACTAATGTTCATTACAAAACTCAACGTAACTTGCTTTTCTGCTTAGCAAACTAATAAACAATGCAGAATAGTAATAATTTATCAGCCCTAGCAAAAATTTGTATCTAGACATGTACTACTTTTATACTGTTTCTGCTATCAGTAATACATCATATTTTAGGCATTTCTGTTAGTTTCTTTCTGATTGGTTACTTCTTCTTTTATTTTGTTCTTCATTTCCTTATTAGGCATCCATCATGGAAACCAATTGTGCATGAAATACATCTTTCCACTGAATTGTGCAAATTACTTGATAAATATGTCCTAACTAAACATGGATAATCTTTTTTTCAAGTGTGGGTGGAGTAGTGAAAAGTCAACTTAGTGCATTAGTTTATGCCTAGTCAAGTCGATTTTTTTTTGTCCTCAAGATTTTCATTTTCTAATGATAATCAGGTTGTTGATGTTTAATGATTTCGTTTATGACAAATAGAATTGTGTTAAAATTGTATCATCACAAGCTCTTTTAAACAGTTTATATTTTATCGATCCACTTGAAATTATATAACTATTGCTTATGATTTATTTAAATATCACCTCACACTATTCCTTTTATAGGCAGGTATGCATCTTTTAGCTTCTCATTACTGCTTTTCATATTGTACTCCCATTTATTTTATGTGTATATATATATTTTAAACAATGTACTCAGACTTTTGTAACGCATCGTTTATTTTACAGCTTTTATTTTTAAATGTATTTTGTATGTATATTATGTGATCAAAAGATTCATTTGCTTTCGTAGTTATGGGGGGTTTTTACTTCACATATATATACGGCTTTTAACGAATGAGCTCTACATTGGTGAATTAATACGAGGGATGAACTTGATAGTTTCAAATAAATTGAATATTGGGTGGAAGTTTAATGATAGAAATATTAACTATAATTATTGTATTATTAATGAGCTGCATGTCTGTAATATATTTTAACCTTAAAGGTCTGGGGCAGTTTTGATATCACAATATTTACGAAACAATGATAAATTAAAATTATATACTTCGAAAAGAGCAAATTAGAATATTTGACTTTACTGAGAAGTGATATGGTAATTATTTTTAAACAATGGTATATAATAGATACTTGCACAGAACTTCATTAACATAATAGATCTGTTACTTCGTTAGGTTCGTTTTCTTTTATAAAACATTGAATATTTTACTTAAAAAAGTCAATGTTATTTATGTCTTTCGTTCACCTTAAAGTTACCTATATACTACCTCAGAGACAGTATATTCATTCAGATTTTTGTATTTCTAAACAGATCATACGATTTACAAGATTCCAGTTATTTCGTGTTCTCTTTTTGATAATGCCCTTCTACGGTATTGGCAGGCGGGAAGTTAGATCCACCTTTATACCCGTAACAGCACACGAAACCGAATTGGTCACAATCAAAAATATAAACTGATAATATCTAAATAAATATAAAATTAAACTGTAACATCATTTATGATTGTTTAAGCAGCTGAAACGAACAGAATGTCGTTTATTCATACAATTACTAATCAGTAATGCATGAAACAACGAATTCTGTTAATTTTTCTAATTTTGACTCCAAATCTATTATCGTATGAATGAATGAACTCGTGTCATCCAAATTGCATTGTTAGTAATTCATCTTGAAATGGTTTGAATTATATTGTTGATATTTTGACCGGGACTTTGCTCAGCCTCGGTTGGTATATGGGCATCCTATGTGGATTGCCTCGATAAAGCCGTTATGAGAAGTTTATAAACAATGTGGCTAGCAGCAGAGGAATACATGATGCACGTATCGTCTCATTTAGGACTTGTCAAGTGGTGTACCTGCATCTCAGAGTCGATGTTCACTCCGGTACTAGAACCTAGTACCGTTTACTTCAAATGCCAGCACGTTATCCACTCAGCTACTGAGTCCGGTTTTACACTCACTTTTGTAACGGGTATGAGATTTAATTCATTCTGTGACCTTATGTTATAATGGCTATATCGAAACAGTCCGCATAGGATGCTCATATGCCAACAAAGATTGATCAAAATATCAACAACGAGATAATCCAAACCATTTTAAATTGAATTAAATTTTATACCAATCGCAAGAAGGAGTAGCCGTCTGGAATCAGTAGCTAAGTGGATAACGTGGTTCCGTTTGAAGCAGACAATACTGGGTTCTAGTCTACGATGCAGCTACATCCACCTGACATGTTTAAAATAGGACGAAACTCTCATCCAAAGATTCCACTGCTAGCCACATTCTATCCACTCCGTATTAGTAGTCTGTTTGATTTCGTGATAGCATGATACAAAAAGCAGCCAGAGGAATTGTATCCATTGTTCCTTTCTTTTTTTTGTAGGCGTTATTTTGTTTAATATTTTCTATTGTCTTTTAGCTCTTATTATTCTTTAAACCACCTGGAAATGTTATTTAAGTTATTTCAGATTAGTATCATAACTGAAATTATTTATATTAATAAAATACATTTAAGTGTATTTTAGGAGATAATTTTAACGGGGTGAACATAGATTGCTAACGCTGCTATGAAAAGTTGGTAATCAGTAATAATATCTACTTCAATCAAAGTAGGGTTAGTTGGTATCAATATAAATTAACAGTTATCCATGGAAATATTTGTAATTCACTATGTTGAAGAAATTGTGATTATTAACTTTTAAAGTGTCTACTAAGAAAGTTGAGGAAATTTTTAACGGATTATGTGGTATTTTGGCGTTCGATAGTCTACAGAGTGACAACATACTTCATGGTCATAGGAATTTAATTAATACTATGAGAAATTCTGAATGTCAAACACATGAGGAAAGAGGAATATCATGACCACCACCATTTTGAATAGGAATTTGAACGTTTTATTACACTTAATATTCTAGAAGTAGCATTTGAATAACTCATTTCTGATCGGTTAAATCTGTCATGTGATGGATGTTCGACTCGAATGTGCGGAATTTACAGATAGCCTAGTTTGAAGATATCTCTTCTTAATGAATAATGACAGCCAGAGAACAACAGATACTCGTATCAAATTCTAGGACTTCTGACGTAAGAAGGATCAACCTAGTATCAAAACGGAGTAGTTACCATATGTTCGTAAACTTACAGTAGCTGAAAGAAACGGCGTAGTAACCTAAGTAATAATGATATCCTCTAAAACTAGCTTATCAATGAAAAGTATGACATTTCATTGTTCTCTTGACAAACATAAAACAATATACTGGTATTAACAACAACTCGTTACAAAATATTAAAAATTTAGAGGCTTAAGCTCCTAATCAATTGAGGATTGTGATCAAGTTTGAACAACTAGAGTGATAAAGTCCTTTCTGTATGCAAGTATCTGATCCTTACTATCTTTGAACTGACTCGTTTGATTCTATATATAATTCTGATCTCTTAGTTTGACAGGATTACATGGCTTATGTTATTGAGTAGCTGATGGTTTTTATTCTTTCTGATAGTAAAGCATTGAAATGTTCAGATATGCGTTTAGGAAGATTTTGTGTGCTAATTGGTGTTGTTTATTAAAAGTAAATACAGTATTTTCCCAGTGTAATTAAATTTCTAAAGGCAAGTGAACAAACAGGTCTATTAAAACTATCTGAAGAAATTAAGCCATTTAACATCCACTGCAGGCTTTACTGTTTTATTAAATAACTTCAAAGCTTTTAAAAGTCGATCCTTCTGTCTTAGCTTCTTAAGATTGACTGATTAACAGTGGTGTTAGTGATTTCTGTTTTTTGTTTCTCAAATTGACCTCTTCATTATAATAAGCTAATATTCTACGCTTGATTTTCCGTTTATGGGATAGACCAAGTTCAAAAGAACTGTTCATTGGTAGGAAAGCAGAAACAGTTAACTTTTTGCACAACTGTTAAGCAAGATGATTAAAACAAACGTACGTTCCTCAAAATAAACTTCGGTTCAACTGAATAACTTCTGCAAATATGATTGTGCCTCATCGGCGTTTTGTTCTCACAATCGGACATCAAGTCAAAAAATATTTAGTTTCCCATAAAAAATTTACTTTTATAACCACATATTGCTTATATCATGAAAGTTGACTGGTATTTGTGTTTTAGAGTCGTCTATCTGTGATCATGTGGTTTGGTTAGGTGTAGGTAGTTTGATGACAAGTTTGAACTCCACTACCTTTAAACGGTAACACTAATTTCATCGATAAGATTGGCGTGAATTAAAAAGCCACTTATTGTATGTTCTATTAGTAGAAAAAATTCGAATAGTTTATTTTTTAATTAAATATCAATATTTTTGTCTGTTCTCGGCAAGTGATTAAGTGTCTTTCCTTATTATACTAACACAATATCGAGAAGTCCTACCGCAAATGTTAAAAATTGTGAGAGTCTTATCAAAGCTTTACCGAGTGCTATAGTTTGTCATACTCAATACAAAAAACAGTTTTTTCACTATATTAGGATGAGATAAGAAGCTAGAAATAGGGAATCATATTTAAGGTTGTCGATGCAGGGAACTAAATTCAAGAAACATTGACAACAGTATACTTCTAGATGAATGAATTCGGTTCAAATCGTTTCGTCACAATAATTTATGTGTCATTCATCACACAAGTCGTTTGCTCATTCATTTTTTGAGGAGTTCTTACTGTCAGCTTCACGTTCACTACCGAGGAAATGACGAGCGTCAGTGAAATTATGCCTTCTTTTTAGTCTTACATTTTGTAAAGCATCTTCGGAAAACAATATCAATAGTACTGTTTTCTGTTCACTTAATTAAAACGCTTTTGCATATACAGTTGGTGAAAGCATACGGTGAAAATTTGTCAACATTTAAATATGCAAACATGTAATTATTGCTGTATAAAGAGATCAACTTGTTGTCTGGAGACATCGGATTACATGTGCCATCTACTGTAAAATCAATCGTTCCGATCTTGGGAAGATAAGCTTTATTCGAAATAGTCGTATTTCACCATTTTCTAAGGAAAGTACGTCGAAATAAATGAATTCATACTATTCTGCTACAACCATTTTTTCCGCTTATTATGATTCTCTGAGGTAAATTATTTGAAATATAAATGTTTATTGAATTGCTCAATTTTTTCAGTAGATTTTTAAACGGGTTGACAACCTTCAGCCAGCGATTTAGCATACACTTTGAAACCAAGAGTAGATAACCTATTACAAGTGTATGTTAATGTCGTTTTTTCAAATTCTTATATTAACTATTGTATCATCGACTATGTATCTGAATTAATCTACAGCCTCTACACAACAGCTGAATATCTTTCAGCGATCTTCATGTTTCCGTTAATCTTTCTATACAAATAAAATAGAGGAGCTGCGGTATACTGCCATAATTCTTACACAAACAAAATGTTTTCATTATTTCTTCGTCAGTTAGTACGTAAGCGATTCTAGAGTGAAGCACAGCATCTGATGCAAATTCGTTTTCAGTTAGAATGTATAGCAGATATACCTCGACTATTTGTGGCCCGAAATCTGACTCGTTTTAACGAACTGTTGATTATACTATGAAATAAATCTCCCCTTTAATCTCCATATATCACCCCTTACGTGAACCCCGTTTGTGCGAGGGGTAGCGCAATGAAATCACAATCTGTATTATTTCAAAGGACCTATTAATCATTAGTAAAATATACTACTGAGATAGGACATATCATGAACCAATAAGTAATACGAAAATAGCATATTGCTGCCTTTAATTAGTGGAAATACAAAAAAGATTGAAATTTTGGTTGATTTTAATAGAATCCTAGTATTAGAATCATACCACAGCATAACTACCCATAAACCGATAGTGATTATCTTTTTGTCTAAATTATGTCTAACAGATCATTTAGGCATGACAGGATTAACAGACCTTCGACTGACTATCTTAGTCACGAGAGAGTCATTACATTGGGTTGCTATCGGCTGACAGTCATATTACTTATTACATCACAAAATGCCACACATGCCTGCACCATCGCTGACATCAAGAAAGTGCACATGAATCGTTTTAGATTCATATTCACAAAATATCAATCATAATGCTAATAGTAAAGTAGCTATCGAATTGCATGACAATTTTTTTGACAATTTACGTACGAAAAGAGATAGTTTAGGTAAAAACTGATAAACAGTGATGAGGTTCAAAACTTTTTATTGATTCCATATATATATCTACGTACTTTTGCATTATAGTTTTATGGAGATCATTGTTTCACATTGAAATCATGAATGAATCATTGTTAAACCAACATTAGAAAACTGGGAGCACTGGACTGCCGTTTCGTCCTGGCATGGGATTTATCAGCAGTGCGCATTCACGACTCCTGCCATTGACTCGTTCGTTTCACACAGTGCTATAGGTAATTAGGCAAGAAGTAACCCAACTAAGTAGCTGAGCCCCAGTAATATATCTTAAATTATCGATGCATACTTGGTTGATATAAAGATGCCCAGGAGAATTCACCAGACTCTGACTCCTAATAATAATTGTTATGAATTATTTTATTTCTGAATGTAATGCAAATAAATACGATCTGAATCCCAGTTTTATGGTTAGCCGGTGAGATATTTATTCAAACTGTTTGGCACTTGAAACCACGGGAATGTTAGTATCTCATGGCTACGTAGAACACCTTAACTTCATTTGATGCATGAAGAGTTCAGCGAAGCGGAGAATGACTGTCGACCTCTATTTTGTTCTATGTCAGCATCTGACTTAGATTATGTAATGAAATTCTTGTAAATTCTCTATATTATGACTACACAAACTCAAGACACATTCTGAACAGAAGTTTTAAGTGATCAAAACAAGTTGAAAAAAATCTATCGACAGAACATCACTCATTACAATACGAAAGTCTAAATCTCCATTTCTTTATTTAAAATAAAATTCCAAAATTACATATATGTACAACAAAAATTACCACAAAGAAAGATACTATACAGTATGAAAATCATGATTTGGCAATAAGAATTTTTATTCTACATAAGTATATGAAACAGTTGGCATTGAATGAATGCTCTGTTGGTACAAATCAGATGATATGCATAGCTTTTTCGAAGGTATTTTGTAGTCATCCTTTAGAAGTCCAGCAGCACAATCTGCATCTTCCTGTGAATACAAAAAGAGACCAATGTAAATGCATCAATAATTATTTATGATAGGCATCATATCAGTAGTAAATCATAGTTGTGAGATTATTTTATGATATGATATTTTAGATAAACAAATCTTAGTGGAAGAAAAATTAAGTAATCACTAATCTGAGATTAAAAACAAGGTTGGGATAAATTATTTGGATTGCTTTCGTTCCACGTTTTTAATGGTTGACGTATGTTAAAAATTAGAAATATTAAATATTTTGGATGATTATCAGTAAAACAACCGTTGGGAATTAAGAACTAGATGACCATTTCTTCCTATTATGGAGACCCTCAATAGTGCGCACTAACAGCGCCATCAGTAATCGAACCTGAGACTTCTAGGCCTCATAGTGGGCGTTTTGTCTTCGAACCGAAGAGGTGGCGTCTAATGATTTACGTTTATAACTTTAGCTGATTTGCTAAGGCGTTCCATAAATGCGCTTTCTTAACGAGTCCCATATTTGGACGATTCAGCTATGTAGCGGAAGTTGTATATATGAATGGTGAAAGCCCTCTAAGTTTTGGATGAAACTATGTCAACAAGGACGCCCATTATGTTAAATCTATTACTTTTTGTTATTATTTTTAATATGATTACACGGTTTTATGACATTGGATTTGAGTTTATAACTCATTGCCAAATGGCTAGAATGAATTTTAAATAATTAAGGCATATATATATATATATATATATATATATATATATATATTTAAAGGCTTTCATATACAACAATTACGGTTTAATATGACGACGTGAAAACGTTGGTTTACAGTTTTCATCTGCCTTAAGTGATCTGATAAGACTGATTGTTTATACATAAATTACACAGTATAAGTAAATTCCTAATGAACCATCAGTTTATATTAACGGATAATATCTGTTCATCGATGAAACATGGTGTATTAACTGCGATTAAAGAATTGCTTTCATCAAAGATGTGTTCCTTTTATGATTTTCTTTATTTTACACCTTAGATACTAATAAAAACATCATATGAATAATGGAGTAAAACAAGTGTATTCACTTCAAGTCGTTGCTCATAATTAAACAAATAAATGAACTCACTTGTGTATGTGGAGGTTCTTCTAGAGACTTTAACCTTCGTTTATGAGGTTTCTGCTTTTTGTGAAGATCAAGAGTGTTTTGATCAATAAAATACTTGTCGCAAAAGATACAAAAAAACTGACCAAGACCGGGTTTATCTTCATCTGGTTCTGTAGCTTCAATAACTCGTTTAGAAAAATTTTCTTCTTTGAGGTCATGAGATATCTAAAACAATAAAATAGGCGTCTAATATTACAACATCATGGATCATGAGTTAACTTCAAGTAATGAAGCGAAGAAGTAATGATAACGCTGCACTTAAACCACTGGGTCACAAACTTGAAACTCGCCTTATATATAATTAGGTAAGCACATGAGGTTACGTATCTTAAGTCTTAATAACTGACATCTAACAAATATCTATACACACTTCCATTTAGTTCCACAAAATAATCCCACAGGTTAGATTCGTCCAGTGTTCTTGTGTTAGTATTAGCTAACGGTTAAACGTTACCATAAAGATTTTCTTTATTAACGAATCCACCGATCTTTCTGATACTATATTCCGACGACAAATAGAAGATGGATGTCATTAAGAATTATACACTTTATTAGATACATGCTAATAGCTTTCTCAACTGATGTGCTTCCACAAATTTGTACTGTCTGAGTGCAAAGTCATTCCACAGAATTAGTTAGTCATACATAGCCATAGGCCTTACAGTCACAGCATATATTCATATCCCAAAAACATCCAACATTTCACGCTTTGGAGCGGTTGTTCAATAGCATAAGCATTTGAACTTCAAACATAATGTTGTAGGTCAAAATCTTATTTGATCCACATCAATCTGCACAGCATCCCTACAGTAAGTGATTCTGAACTAATAATTGATGATTGAGTTTATTATTATAACCACTACGTCAAAGTTTCTATTTATAGCCTAAGTGGTCACATTGGATATAGATTTTACTATTCACAGAACGCTTACTGCTAATATGATCGATGACGTAAAAGCACACTGCAACTAGCTTTCTGGAACTGCAATGTTTTATGCTGATGGTGACTTACTGCAAGCAGGAATTACTGTATAGGAAGTGACAGGTCTTGATAGGTGAGTTAATTATGGTGAAATCGCATTCCCAATTAGTATAACTAAGGTAACATTTGAAATGTGCTACGGTTTAACACTTAATACTTACAAAAATGGAACTCGGCGACAAATATTTGGTTTGAATTTCCAAAACCATATAAAATAATGTTACCTGGTCAATATCTCTTGTGCGATTTTTAACTTTGTAGCGAGCGTTGCGAACACCCTTTCGGCCCATGAATTAGCAACCAGGACAAATGAATATGTTGAAATATTTTACGGCACGTTGCTTTGAGGTCTGTTAAGTGTAAAAATATCGTATTCATGTTAACTGAATATTAAATTACTGTGATCAGGTATTCAAGACGGCTCAATCCAAAAATAATTTGATTGGACGAATATTTCATTAGATTTTGGGTATTTGAAAAGGCTACAAGTTTCCGCTATAATAGGGGAATGATTTGTTAGCTTAGGAACGATTTCATGTAACAGACAGTAAAGGTGTCGGTAAAGTATTTTGGAGTTCACTAGTGTTTCATTATTTGACATTACTGGTTTTTCACTTATCAGTTTTCATGTATAGTCCGAATTAAAAACAACTGTTGATTTATCACAGTTCTCTCATTGTTTTCTGATATCACCATATATAACTCAAAATAAAAACCAGTGATAATCTAGTAAAGTTTTCAAATCTGCTTCACATAAATGGTTTTAAGAACATAACGCTTTAATGATTTCTAGGTAACTGGTATGTAGCCGAAAAATGAAAAGTCGAGGAGAATACTTTTAACCAGTAAAACTTTAAAACAGCCACCTACTGATTAGCCCCAGAATAGTAAGGAGTGAGGAAAGTCTATTCTCTTAATTGAAGTGCTCTCATATAACCAGTGCCGGGGAAGTTTTACCGCCTATTTGCAGCAGGGGTGCTATTGACGAAATTCAGAAAATTAAAGGCGAATGTCTAGTGCTTAAACCGGGTTGGTGGTGAGAATCCATCCGGAGCTGAAATGGTACGCATAGGCTCCGGGATACTATGGGAATAAGTGAAGCACAGACATATCCTGGTCACCGGCCACCATAGACCAGTCAGTCAGTAAGAATGTCGAACTTCGTATATAGGTACATTAGTTGCTATACCCCATTAGTACAGAGATGAAATGTTAAGCTATACCACTGAGCAGTGGAGTTAATAAGTGTATTACCGGGGAATCGCAGATAAAATCCAAGAAAAACCAGTGGTAAAAAACTATGATGATTTTAAAAACTCATAATTTAGCAAAGGACGAAGAATGGATGCATCGGTACAATTGCAAACGTTTTTGAGACATGGTATTCATAGCCTCTAACCACTGGGTACGATTTTCCTGCGGAACCCGACCCGAAAATAAACACCATAGGCGCGCATCTCCTAACGCCATTTCCCTGTACTGTAGATTAGGCCCCTAGGTCAGAAGCTCGGAGAGTGAACCCCTAAAAAACAGTTCTTTGCTTTCTGTACCCGGGACAGTATCTCGATGGCATAACACATATATATTTTTGGAGCTTTTTTCGAACCAATTTTTGCGTTTGAGTTAATAATAACACCGAGCCGAAATTGGAGGTAACTCATAGTTCTGATAGTACAGTAACAGTAGAACAAAAAGGCTACACGGAAATTACATGGGCTCTTGTGGTTTGAGAATGCACGTCAACACTAATTGCGTCTCAAAATCAAGGGCTGAGTAATTCTAAATTAGCAGCTGGATATTACAGCAGTGTATGACAAACTGAACATTTCATAAGTTAACCTAATAAAACGTGGATTATCATCGGTATTTTACCACTTAATTGTCATCAGGAGCTTTAAGAGGATAGAGCTAATCAAATGTACCGCAACCAGATGGCTTGTGATTTAATAACAGTTGGATTCCTGAGTTGAATCGGAAACCAACGGTAAAAAGGCCCTATAAAAAGTTCCCACACTTCACATAAGCAGCACAATTTAATCGTAGAGCTTAAGAGTGTGGAAACCAACCCTAACGGGTACGAACCCCGAGCCCATAGTCTATTGCCAAGGTCTAGAACCCGGTGCATGAAACATGCTTATTTTTTTTACAACATAGTACAAAGGATTAGAGATATTATCAGTACACAAGTACTGATTATGATCCGAAAGCCAGTTTTAACAATCGTTAGGCATAACAGACAGCAAGATTTATAGTCAAAATTTCCAGTAGTAATCCAAAATGAAATATCTCATTTTGTCATAGCTCAAAGTCACACATTGCATGAGTACAAAAAATTGCCCAATTTTGACGGTGTATTGCCAAAAATGGTTTATGTACCAGTCGATGCCAACCTTAGGACATCAAACTGGACGTGCGTGACGAACATTTTGCACAGTGGATTTCTGGACCTTAGATGGAATGCTACGAGTTCAATCGTACATTGACCCGATATTATATGATATAAGTTGTATGATATTATACTACCTATAAACCTCGGATATTTAAGAACCACCAGATTACTATCATAAACGCTTACAACCTTAATAGATTTCTCCATATTTTCGACTGTAAACTTATGGAAGAATGGTATATCATCAGTCGTTGGATAAGTCGATGATTTTAGATTTATATTATCATCTTCTGAACCAGTTTCTATATATGCATAACTTCTTACCATACCTAATGACTATCCACATGATTTTTATTATGGATATATCATAAAACGATCGTACATGAGACGAAAGTGATTCTGAATGGATAAATACAACCTGAACAGGAAACTCTGTAACTTCAGGCCTTATTAAGTTTGCGTTTAGCCTGAAGGGACCTTGAGTGCTGTGGGAGTGTGATGCATGCGAAGTCATCTCGCAGAGGAAAGAACAATTAGAAAAAGTGAGACGACTCAGTGAGCAAGTATGATGCATTTATTTTCTTAAAAACAGAAATGAACAAGAGTGAGAAATAATGCAATGACGATATTATGACCAACTGGTATTCGGAGACACGATTTGGTAGCGTGACAATTTAAATGCGATACTACTACTCCGGTCAAGCGGAGCGGGATGAAATGTCCAATATCTTTTTCTGCACTCGATCCTTGTCATTCCGATACAGCTCCAAGTATTCGGCAGTGTACAATAAATTGTGGTTCAGCCATTCGCCTGCATTATTTCTAGTCGGTTGACAATTATTCGTGAGGTAAGATGTACTGTAACACGTATAATCAGCAGCTACTGAAGGGCGGAGAGGATCTAAAATCACAACACACAAGGTTAGTTTGACACCTCACACCGAGAGAGAACACGAAGTGGTCCAGCTTTATACACTGGTCCTTGCACCTGACGATCATACATATCTTTTTGACGGCCACTAGCCCTGCGCGAGTTGATGTTGGCTAAACGGTACGCATCACCTAGGCGGTTATGGAGAGTGCGGATGTACGGTACGTGTTCTTGTTCTTCGTACGGTAATAAAGGCGACTGTATCTCTACCGGGAGGCGTAGTTCATGCCCGAATAGTAAAATAGCAGGTGAGAATCCCGTAGACCCATCTACTGATGTTCGATAATCTAGCATGGATTGAAGAAGCACCTCGTCCCACAACTCGTGTGACGATCTGCTGATGAACGATTGTAAAATAGCTTTAATGGTTTTATTTGTCCTTTCGACTAGGCCGTTACCATCTGGGTGATATGCCCTAGTATCTTATTCCTTATAACTTGCATGTTTCGGCAATGAGATGACTTTCAAAGGCCGAACCTTGGTCGGAGTGAAATGAGAGTGGGGCACCATAACGGGAAACCCAAGGTCAATGAAAGCCCGTGCGACAGTTAGGGCGTCTTGCTGATGAATGGGTATTGCTTCGCACCATTTTGTAAAATAATCTACCATAACTAATATGTAGCGATTTCCTTTTATCTCGTTGTCAATGGTCCCATAATATCGATACCAACTCACTGGTGCGGTCCAGTTGTTCTCATCGGCATTCCCAGTGCCCGTGTTGTTTGATCAGGCGATTTTATGCGGCAACACGTGTTATAGTTTTTACAGAAGTCAATTACAACTTCATGAATAGTCAGCCACCAAAAGAGCTGGCGAACAGCAGATTCAGTTCTTCGTTCTCCTGCGTGACCGAGTTCACGATTATCATGCTCCACAATACTCTGTATCTTTACTTGCGGTACTATAAGCAGGGGTTGTCTGGACTCATTAATAAGGAATAGCTTGTTACCATATAGTTTTAAGTTGCTCCATTTGTTACAAATACGACACGTAGCGAGGGATTGGTCTCTTAACTCCCTCATGGACGGCTTATGGTTACCATGTAGTTGTGTTCGATAAATAATCTGTAAATCCGGATCTGCTGCTTGCAGCGAGGACCGGTCGGTCTCTGTTGCCGTACTCAGAATCGCAGCAACGGTATCTGTGAACAAAGGCAGGTGAGACAGAGCATCTGCATTGGTATGTCTATTCTCCGGACGGTACTCGCATGTTAAGTCAAATTCTTGCAACCGTTCCTTCCAGCGTGCTACTTGTTTTTCTGGTTCGCGAAAAGAACGAAGCCAACGTAATGCATGGTGATCCGTGCGCACACGAAAAGGTCTACTCAGTAGATAATGACGGAAGTGCTCTAAGAATTTTTCTAATGCTAGCATTTCTCGACGCATTGTGGAATACCGTGTTTCACTGTTGTGTAGTCATCGGCTTGCGTACGCGATGACTCTCTCCTGGCCATCTCGAGCTACCTGTGATAGAACTGCTCCGATAGCTGAGGAACTAGCATCCGTGTCGATTATGAACTGACCTCCGTCTGCTGAGGTCTCAGGAAAGGCTAATATAGGTGGTGCAGTTAGCCGGGCCTTCAGTGTATCAAATGCCTGTTGAAACTCGCTGGTCCATACGAATTTCCGTTCCTCATGTGTCAATCTGTGCAAAGGTGCTGCCAAAGATGCGAAGTCACGAACAAAACGTCTGTAATAGGACGCGAGACCCAGGAAACTGCGA